TACGCAGTTTTTCTTCGCTCTTTTGGAAGTAATGCTCTAATTCAGTTGTTTTAAATCTGTGAATAAATCGAATCTTCACACGATAGATGGTGTGTCCACAACCGCTTGATGCCGACTCGAGCACGCCCGCCGAATTGGAGATCAAACTCGATGGCGGAAATCGATCCGCTCACGAAGTGGGCGAAGGCGAGGATTTAATATCGCTTCTACCCGGGTTTCACTTAATTTGAACCATCCTATCATTGCTGCTTTCGTGTCGTTTTCTTCCTTAATCCTTATTTAGTTGGATACTTGGATGGCTCGTCTTCACTGGTTGTGCGATTCCTAGGACAATCTCCATTTTTTGCTGGTTTAGCCATTATGGCTTTTAAAGTTTCGAGATCGGCCAGGCCAAAGTCTGCCCCAGGTCGTCACCACCACAAGCAGTTGCCGCTTTTGTGTATAAGGACAGTGGTGGATTCTGGTGTTGGTTTACTCCTAACTGGGTTTCCTAATGGAAGCGCCGGACTCCTCCTCAGTCCGGTAGACTCTGCTGCGGATGAATCTCCCTGCTGTACATCGCATTCCGACACCCTGGAACACCTCCCAGCCACGATTAGCCGGTAAACCGTTGGGAGGATACGACAGATAATATTACGAGAAGTTTTTATCCAAAGAAAAGGACTATTTCTACGGCACACTAGAGATTATGCCAACCTGTTTTTTGAAACTGGACATTCCTTCACGCTCTAGCACCTTATACAAGAAAAGTGGAAGAAAATTCACGCCACTGTTAAGGTACAAATTAATAATTTCAAAGATCCACTCCCTATAAACCTCGGTAGAATCTTTTACGTGATTAAGCTGACAAGAGGTTGGCATGAAAGCTTCATCCTCTGACGTCGGGTCGCTTTCGCCCTACTCAGAGCTCGATCCGAGTCGATCGGTGGTACGTCCACAACCGGTCGATGCCGACTCGGGCGCGCCCACCGAATTGGAGATCAAACTCGATGGCGGAAATCGATCCGCCTACGAAGTGGACGAAGGCAAAGATTTAATATTGCTTCTACCCGGGTTTCACTTAGTTTAAACCGTCCTATCACTGTTCCTTTCGTGTCGCTTTCTTCCCTAATACTTATTTAGATGGATACCTGGATGACCCGCCCTCACTGGTTTGCGGACCCTAGCAAAATCTCCATTTGTTCGGAGTTTTGCTGGTTTCGCCGTTCTGGTTCCTTGGAGTCCCGCTGATGTTAGCCAGGCCAAAGTCCACATCAGGTTGTCAGGCAGTCACCGCCCTTATGGTTCAGAGGGAGATTTTCCACCATGCGACTAGTTTGTTACCAAGACGGTGATGGATCCTGGTATTAGCTTACTCTTAGCTAGGCATCGTGATGGAAACGCCGGACTCCTTCTCAGCTTGGGAGACCCTGCTAGGAGGATGATTCGCCCCGCTGTACATTGCAGCCCGACACTCAGGAACACCTTCCAGCCACGATGAGGCGATAAACCGTTCAGAGGAGGACGATATCGATGTTATCAAAAGCTATCAAGCTACCAAAGTATCAGTGTAGTAAAGTCAGGCGTTTTATCACTATGTCTTATTAACATCATAAAGGATAAAGGAGGAATCTATCGGCGTCGATCAATCCCTGAGGGATGCGCCATGCATTCGACTTCATTATGTGTCGTTGGAGGTGATTGAATGCATATCTGGTCTTTACAATGACTCGCGGTGGCCTACTGATGTATTGAGCCAGTGCTGCGATCCTCCCAGGCAAGTCTGGTACCAATTTGCCAACCCCGGAGGGGTGGAAGGCTTGGTGGGCCATAGGCGAGGCGATCGATTCCACGTTTGTAGGCCGTCTCCAACCACTGCGCGCTACAGGCGCCTCTTGTTAACATCATAAATCTTATAAACTATTTACCGACTTTATACCTTGTAATTTGTGCTCTAGCAAAATTTCCGATACGTTTTGATGTTTTGGTTGGCACACCGTTTTCAATCAGATTATCTAACCGACAAATTTTAACGTTTACCTTGAATTGTTCTTTACCTGCTGCCTTAACATTTTCTTCGAATCTTCCTACATATCCGCTGTGTGCCAAGTACATAGTGCCAAGTACATAAATCAGATGATTAGCTCTGGAGTCTATTTTATCTTTAGCATATGCAAGATCTGATGCAAAATATGCCCAACTTTAGTCAGCCTTTTTTAAAGGGCCATCTTGATCATTGATCATTGATCACCATATTTGGAAGATTTAAATAATTCTTAAGCTCTACTAACCCACTCTTCGTGTACTTCACCTTTAGGGGCTATATTCACAAATCATTTCTCTATTTCGCTTTTTCTGCGCAGTGTTTGTTCAGAAAAGGCGCATGTGACGCCGTGGTCGGAGGCTCTCTCCCTGCAATGCACATGGATCGTTTTCTGCGATCCCACGCTCACGAAGCGCTCCATCCCTCTGCGGTCGGCAAATTGGTACCAGACTTGTCTGGGAGGATAGCAGCACTGGCTCGATACATCGATAGGCCACCGCGAGTCATAAAAAAGTTATTGTATGCATTCAATCATCTCTGAGCGATGCTTAATGAAGTCGAATGCATGGCGCTTCAGGGACTGATCAACACCGAGAGCTATTATCCTTTTATTTGTTGCGAAGAGAATACTTCATTCTTAATGCGTTGCTCTATTAAATCTCTTTCATTTAAATCTAGCATTTTCTGTACGGCAGAATTTTTAACTGTCTTGAGTCTTTGATATTCCTCTATATATTTGACGATTTATCACCATATTTTTGTGCAAAAGCTTGTCCAAACGGAATTAAACATTCACCAGGATATAAATCTTCAGGCACAAGGATTTTTTCACTTAGAGCTTCGTTGTAGCGCGTGTGGTGCAGTGGTCAGGGGCGCCCTGCAACGTACTCGTGCAATTGGTCCCCGCACTCAGGGGCCACCAAGCCTTCCATACCTTTGAGGTCGGCAAATTGGTACCAGACTTGTTTGAGATAATCCCAGCACTGGCTCGATACAACGGTAGGCCACCGCGAGTTACTGTAATGGCCAGATATGCAACCAGTCACCTCCAAGTGATGCTTAATGAAGTCGAATGCATGGCGCATCCCTCAGAAACTGCTCAACGACGAGATCTTTCAGAGAGCTTGGAGCTTCGTTATACCCTAATACTACGGCATTTATTAAATCATTTTGTGGGCCAGCATAATTGACATAATTTGCCTCCATTACCTTATATGCTACTTTTTTAAAAAAGATAGTTGCTTGTATGCCTCCATATGCTGCACCTCTTGCTTGTCCTATGTGCCATTAGTCCGGTTGGATCTCTTGAAACACACTCAATATCGATGTGTTTGCCTCCGTTAAATCTTTAAAAAATTTTGATTCGTTTTCCTAAATATCTTTAACAGAATTATGTTAGCTACCAGCCTTTATAGAAAAATTAATAAAGCCTGCACCTGCAATTTCTACACTTGCAGTGTACGGTAATTCTGCAAGGATTCCCTTAAACTTTAAAGTAACTTCAAGAGGAGTAATATTTTTTTTGCAGCAATGAGCATTTCGATTTTACTTGATGAATCACCTTTAAAGCTATTTTAGGGTGCGGGTAGCGCAATGGTCGGAAGCGTCCAATTGTGGTGTCACCTCTCTTTAAGTTTTTGTCTCTTCGCGACCACTCAATGAGATGGAACTATTAAAGGTGCGTGAGATTCCCTAAGATTTCCATGTAATCAAATCAGGTGCCTCTCCTTTTACTTTATATTTAGAGTATATCATTGTTTTTGATGTCTTTCTGACGCGTTTCTAATTGACAAGGTTGACCTTCTTTTGGGAACTTTGGCATCCCGGAAATGGAAGCGTGATGTCCGTATTTGTTGCATATTCACCATCATCCTCCCTTGTAAATGAACGTTTGATGGTAAATTGGTCCACATTTGTCCCATAGATCCTATCCCGTCATAATTTTTACCTTTCTTAGTGTATTCGTGTTCTTCGCTGTTATTCGATGTATGTCCTAATTTCTCGTAGAGGAGGTATGAATATTTTCTACTTACAAATGATCCTCTGTGGGCTCTACAAACGTGCAAACGTGCTGTGCTCTTTTATATTGCGGATTTCTGATTTCTACTCGGACGAAAACTGTTCTTTCCACCTGGTCTCGTCGTTCTAGTTATCAGCAGGTCTTCTGTTTTCCACGTTCCATCCTCGTTGTTTCCTTTGTTATGAAACATATCTCTGCCTTCTGTGCATTAAAATTTCTAGGGAATCAAGTCGGGCGCGTTCCGTTTCACTTCACAAACTGTAGTATACAAATCGTTTGAAAAAAGTACTAATACAACCACGACGTTGCTGAGATATTTGCAAAACTCTGGACCGCAGGTGTCTATGGTGGGGAACGAACGCGCTATTGTCCTTTCCGGGGAGTAACGCGCTCACCACCACACCATGCGGGTCCTTCGTTTCGCCTGTCTCTCAGCTATTTCTATCGATCTTTTTGCTACAGCAATCACCCATCAGCGGAGTTTTTTCATGAAAACTATATAAAGTAGAAAACAAAACGTTAAACATTGTAATTTCAACTACAGCCGTAGCTTAACTGGGTTCTATGCCGATTTGCGCTTCCCAGATCAACCCCGTCAACGGTGATTGCTGTTGGCAAAAAAAATCGATAGAGCTAGCTGAGATGCATGCAAAGCGAAGGACCCGGATGGTGTAGTGGTGAAGTGCGCTGCTCCCCGGTAAGGACAACAGCGCGTGTTCGTTCCCCACTACATACACCTGTGGTCCGGAGTTTTGCAAATATCTCAGCACTTCACACGAGTTATATTTCACAACATACCCTGCCATTAAGAAGAAAAAGGCAGTAAATGAAAGAGTTAGGATTAATTTATAGTGTTCACTTCTTCAAAGCATAATGAGATTTCTCAAGTTTTAATAAAAATAAGGTTTACATTTATGTGTTTAGTGAAATATTCACTGAACTGAGGCTCTCGTGTCGATGCTAGAAATATGTGATGTGAAGACTGTTGACTTGCTCACTAGTGCAATAAGCATGAACACTCGAAACAGTAGATGGTATGCTGTTTTTACCATATCTCTGGAGAAGATTGGAATTGACGATGAGTAAGTCCTGCCATAGCTTTGAGTCTTAATTTGAGTGGTCCTTTCCCGGATGACAGGTGTCTGCAGTGGGAACTGAACACTCTATTACCCTTCCTGTGGCTAACGCGTTCACCACCACACCATTATATGTGATTCCTAATAGCACATATAGGTCACAGACGGATGAGAGAAAGCCGAAACAAAGGATCCGCATGGTGTGGTGGTGAACGCTTAGCCCCGAAAAGGTGATAGAGTATTCAATTCTCACTGTAGACGACACCTGCCGTCTAGACTTTTGCCAACATCAGCCTTATTTTGATAATTTCAGTTGTGCTTTTGTGATTTGTTTCATGTGCTTGGTAATTCGGTTTTCTTCTAGCGCGTTGGAGATTGATCTGAGCAAAGCGCTCTTGGCCGATGAAGACAAATTACTGGAATTGGTCCAGAAGAAATTTGACGAAATGAATTGCCAGAAGGTACACGGTCTTTGCACCTTTAACATGTGTGTTTATGGGAATTATTCAACATATTTTTGCAGCCCATCATCGAACATCAATGCAAGCGATTCAAGTTGGCGCTTGCACAAACGCTTGGAATTATTGGGTGGGCATCAATTTCAATGGACTTTATTACCGTACTGAGCGAAACAGTATCTTTCTCTCATTCTCCTTGTTCGAACCATTATGATATGTAAAAATATGGCACTTTAAAACCAGTTTTTACAACTAAAATTTAATAGCTTTTCGAGTGGTGGTCGAATTATTCTTTTAATTCATGGCAGTTCAACGTTTACATTCCACGTAACTTGCACTGTTCGCCTCAACCATCGCTACTGCTTCCGTTAAAAGTTTTTGCTATCCATATAGTGGACAATGTTTATATACATTGTTTACATGACCCGTCATCACGTCTAATGGGCGGATCCCAGCACTTCTGGCATTCGATTTGTTTCCTTTGCATTCATCGTCCGTAATGGTCTTCAAGCATTTCTCGTTTCGTTGTTTCAGCTGCTGTTTGAAGATTTCGTCTTCTTTGGAAATATAGAATGCTGGTGAAGTGAATTCTCCTTGTAATCTTGGATATAAGTGGTATAAGGCGTTCCCATGCCGATTGAAGGGGGGCGTTCGGACGAGGATCGAACTAGCGCCTTTGTTTCCTGATCGACTACATCACTGTGCTTCTTTGTATCACCGGTCTCGTGTAGTCATTTCTGCGACGGTATTCGTAATGAAGAGGTCTTCAACTTCGGTGGATGGTCTTCCGTGTTCGAGAGAGGCTTGTGTTCATCGTCATTTTCATGTCTCGCTCAGCGAAGGTGTGTCTGACTGCGGTCCATTCTGTTAAATTTTCTCGTTGATGAATACTATGGATGTCACTGACAGCCGTAGTGCATCGGTCAGAACTGTAAAATGAGCACATTTCTATTGCAATAGAGGAGATAGTCTGAAGAAAAAACATGTTGATAGAGTAGCGCAGGATGTAAGTTGAAGATGAGAGAACTCTATTTCGAAAATAGAATGGCCATTCTTTTTCTTCCGTGTTGAGAGGAAATTGTGACAAATGGACAGATAGTGTGCGGTTTCTATTGGTCATGTTTTTATAGCATCTTACCTATGATAGCACTTTTCAGGAGTAGTATTGAAGAGTATAGCACCGATGTTGGACGTCTAATTAGTGAGGTCACCAGCCAATAGATATTAGAGGAAAAGGTCTGCTCGAGTTTTCTGTGTTAATTTTACGTTGTCGGCCTTCGATTATTTAGAAGTTCTTAATTTTTCTTTAGGAACATGAAGTTTCAACGTATGGAACGGCTCATATTGGTAGTGGTGATGAACTTCTGGATGACACGTTTAACACTGAGTCGGAAAATCAACTTTTTGTACAGTTTTTCTACGTTTCATTCCTGATGTTTTTCTAAGATTACAACGAGTAGGAATGTCGTAATGTTTTGAATTCTGTTCTGCCTGCCTTCACAATGAGAACATTGAGAATCTTAAATGTTTTTTGCGTTTCTCGTCTAGCCTGTGTTATATTGCCGTCGTCTTTCCGCTTTTAATCCTAGAATTACTCATTTCTCTCTGAACAATCTCGGTCTGGAGTTTTGCAAATATGTCAGCATCATTGTGTTGTGTCACACATAATAACTCATATAATTGTAGTAGGCAGTAAATAAAGAATTAACATTGCGATTTCGACTACATCCTCAGCCTAACTGGGTATATTGCCGATTTGATCTCCCCAGATCAATCCCGCGGACGGGTGGCTGCTGTCAACTTGACCTTTCCTGGCTCTGAAGAGGGCAAAGTCCGCCGAAACGTCAGCTTGTTCGTGAATAAAGGAATAAAATAACACCTCGTGTTTGCTCAACAGAAATACGAAGAAGTCTGAAAGTATTTACAGTTAACCAATTTGAAATTATCATCAGCGTGGGAATAAAGGGAGAATCATGAAGATTTCGCGAAAAGTTACGAAACGAAGACTTCTTCAAAAGTCACGTGTTAATGAAGAAGTGCATAAAGTGGAGCGAAATCGCTGTAGTAATTGCTTAACTAAGTGGTTGCAAATGGGAGCTGTCAGTGGAGTGGTGGAGGAGGTAATCTGTTGTGCAGTGGCCTTTGATCAATGCTATCCACCAAAGAATTATTGCATAGGTGAAACGCCGTAGTCACAGTGGCAGTTGTTGTTGTAAAATGTAAATTAAACGGAATAAAAATAATTCGCTTTGGCGAGTGTCTTGGAGCACATTATTTCAAGCGTTGGGTGGAAGTTATATTCAACCTTTCTCTATTTTCTTATCGATACGATACTCTGGGACACACCAGTGAAAGATGAGTCCATTGCTGGTTACCAGCCAGCCGGCCATCACAGATTGCATATGTTCTTCAATTACAATACATCCACTTGTCTTGCTCATATGAGGGATCGCTGTAGATGTGGTTGTCTAAGGCCAGTTTCTTTGTTTCTTCTTCTTACCGCTCAGTCTTCAACTGATCACAGATGGTTGGCGCCATAAACGGCAACACATAAAGCAGAATTTAATTGTTCGCTTTCCACATGTGGACCGAGCCGTCATCACTTCGTTTATGGTGATAACTGACTTCTTCCAATGATTAAATTTCTCATGACGTGCAGTTTCTTTCCACAATACGGACGATGTGATTGATATGTAACTCAGAAATGTGGAATGTTCCCAGCGGCATGGGCTTCACGTCACTTGACTCTTATGTTTCTTCCTCTTGCTGCTCAAACTTTTATGCTAAATGAACAGTTTCTTTAATAGGCGATTTAGAAAAATTATCACCAAACGACTATAACCCTTAAAGCCTGTTGTTGGAAAAAGGTGTAAAAGCTTCACTTACTTATGAACGGAAAATGGAAAATATACTAGCCATGTGCGTACATTCTTGACGCCCCTGTAGTGCAACGGTTAGAAGCGTTCTGCAACACACATGGCCGTTGCTTCGATTCCATGTCTAAGCCTACCTAACCAAGCCCAGTATTCTTCCTAAATCTCCGAATTGATCCCAGGCTTGTAGGGTAGAATAAGAAATTTCATATATCGGCAGGTCCAAACATAATGATGCGTAAGTACATTACGCATTCAATCATGCACCTGGTGCTTAATGCAGTAGAGTGGATTAAACGTATACTCAACACTTCCTCTTCCATTATTGTTTTTTCTAAAAAGAGAAAATGTGAAATCGGCTGCCTGCTTTGAGCGTAAGAACTTTTCTATCACTTGGCGAAATGCGGTGTTGATTAGTCGTCAATAGAGTTTGAGTCATTCATCGTAAATATAGTGAAACAACAATGTTTTTTATCCTCCCATTTTTTGCTAGGCTTCTTGTAAATACCCATGCCGAAATAACGCATTGCTCAGATCATCGGAGCCTATCCCATTTTTGAAAGCATCCATCGACAACGAAGTACAGATGGGTTGGCCACGCACTATGATGAGATGACGGACTGACCAAAAGATGAGTGGTGGAGCCAAGATGACACAAGCGCTTTCTCCAAAGACCGCTCAAACAATAAGCGGCCGTATTCATGGTCAACGTCAACTACCTACATAAGCAACTGCGAACGATTTTAGCACTACGAATGTTCGTTAAGGACGTCGCCATGTTTGAAGCAAACCACCACCGTAGGCGATGGTTGCGCTAGAAATGAAGCAATAGAAAATGAGTTTGGATATGCACTGCTATTGAAAAGTGTCATCTACGTTTCCGAGTAAGCACACGAACTATCCTACAGGTATAATTGCCGAGAAAATGTAGTAGGCAGTAAACAAAAAGTAAAACACTGCAACTTCAACTGCAGCATCAGTTTAACTAGGTTAAATGCCGATGTGGGTTCCCCAGATCTACCGCATTGACGGGTGGTTGCTTATGGCATCAATCGATAGAACTAGCTCAGAGATGGGCGGAACGAGGAATCCGCATGGTGCTGTGGTGAGCGCGTTACTCCCCCGAAAGGGTAATAGTGCATTCGTTCCCCACCACATACACCTGCGGCCTGGAGTTTTGCAAGTATCTCATCACCATTGCGGTTGTGTCACACATAATATCATGCCGTGAGAAATTGTATTACGCAGCAAATAGAAAGATAAACAGTGTAAACTTAATTCCAATTAGACATCTAACGCAGTGGTAGAAATGTCTTTCATTACGAGCCTGGTTCTAGTTCGACGCCGGGGTCGGAAAGTTAGTACTAGACTTGATTGAATCTAGAAGACTTCGTGCACTCTAAAACCCTCTGGCCTTGCTCTCCCAGGGTTCCAGTGAGAATCAGACTGAAGCTCAATGAAATTCATAGTGAAAACGACAATGTTGAAGTCGCAGGTAACCTCCGTGAGAGGCGTTCGAAGCCCTTTGTTGATGCTGGTTGCACGGAAACGAATCGAATACAAGAAGCCCTGGGATCCGCATAGCAAATGTGATGAGTGGCCATATAAAGTGTAAAGTGTAAAAAAGGCCGGACTCCGAAAATAACATCTCAAGTTGCAGCAATCCGATTTCATTCCACTCGTGAATTGCTGAGGTAGCTCGAGATGATGATAATAATAATGGTTGATAAAGGTGTTTATTCGGGCAATGTTTCGACGTCTCTGTCTTGCTTGTAGTCGTTCCCATCCCATTTTATAAAAACTCGAAATACCTGGGTTAAAAGTAGTGGACCTTGCTTATTTCTTCTAATTTCCAGGTCTTCTCCTTCTACGAATCCTTGAATCGTTTCTGATTCATTGATTAGTTTTTCACGCATGAGTTTTCTTGATAACGTCATCGGAAAGGCTTGTAACAACTTGATAAAGATAAAGCCACCAAGCATTTCCTATTTCGTAGATGATCTGGTGGAGGATCGCTGTTCTTCTGCCACTCGTTGAAGCGGTATGTGATGCCCTAATCACTTCCTTCACTCATACAAGTGCTCGTCGAAGAATTACAAAAGGCATCCCTTTTTACGTAGGATTGTACTGATAATTTTTCAAGTTAGTAGTATTAGAATCGTATAGAATCTCAGACAATTCGTTAGTGATGTAGTAAATTCAGCCATCATTTCCTATTGAAAGTATGAGGTGTGTCTATCTGTCTATGAAACTCTGAGCTCTCTGCAACGATCTTGCGCTTTCCAAACCAGTCTCCCGCAATGTTTCGAGCTAAAAGATATTTCCTGGTATATGGTACCGTCATACGCTGTTTTTCTTCACCCTTTTCCATGTAACGTTATGGCTCAGTTGTTTTAATCTCTGAATAAATCGAATCTTCACACGAAAAGGATCGTGATCAATTGCGCTAAACGACGACGGATCTGCGATGGTGTTGAAAAGAATGCGTTTTTAGAGCAGTGATGTGTTTGTGTTACGAACAAAGAAATTTCTAACACCATTAATTTACCACTAGATAAAGTTTCGCATGAGCTGTAAAGTTCTTTACAGCTGCGTAACGCTTTTTTGGATAAAACCATGTTTGCTCGTTATGTCGGCACCAAGAGCATGTGCTCTCCAAGATTTAACACTGAAATCCAGGTTTTGAATGTCGAGAATAATTTTATTGATTAGGAGACTTGTTTAGATACCTGGATGGTCCGTCTTCACTGGTTATGCAGACCCCAGCATAATTTCCATTGTTTCGGAGTTTTGATGGTTTAACCATTGTGGTTTCCAGGTCTCCTGAGGTTAGCCAGGGCAGAGTCCGCCTTAAGTCGTCACCTCCACAGGCAGTCGCCACCCCTTGTAGATCGGAGGAAGACCTACCACCATGCGACTAGTTTAATGCCAAGTTGGTGGTGCATCCTGGTATTGGTTTACTCCTAGCTGGGTTTGCTAGTGGGAACGTCGGACTACTTCTCAGCCTGAGAGACCACAATGTGGGATGAATCTCACTGATATACATTGCAACCCGACACCCAGGAACATCTCCCCAGCAACGGTGGCAACCCGTTAGGACGATAAGGCGGCCACATTAATTTATTCTATAAAGGTATCTAGGCACAGTTATTTTGCTCGATGATACACTACCTCGTAAAAGCTAGGTTGGATCTTGCACAGTTAAAAATGAAAGGGTAAAGCTCTCGACACTGATCAGTCCTTGAGAGTTGCGCTATGCGTTTGTCTTCATTAATCATCGTTTGGATGATTAGATGCATATCTGGCCTTTACAATGACTCGTGGTGGCCTGTCGATGTATCGAGCCAGTGCTGCCATCCTTCCAGACAAGTCTGGTAACAATTTGACGGCCCCGGAGAGATAGAAAGCTTGGTGCGTCATGGGCACGGGGATCAATTCCACGTGTGTGTTGCAGTGCGCCCCCGACCACTGGACTACACGTATCCTTTCAACAGTTACTTAAGGCATTCTCCATTGGGCGATGCACTTTTTATCAGTGAAATGCTCAATCACCATCTTTATTTCTATGGCTTCTCTGTAATATCCTTCGAGTGTGGCATGAAGTAATACGTTATTTCTACTAAATAAAATTTTAAGGTTTTATTGATCCGAAGTTCACGGTGGACACTTTGATTTGGGAGACGAAAATGTTAATGAAAGAGGCAGTGATTCGATTCCTAATGTGTGTCTATTTACATTTTGAAAACATTAATAGTATCATGAATTCGTCGTTTTCTCTCTCAGCTCTCGCGAATTTAACAATATCGCGATTGCTGAGAGAGAAAACGGCGAATTGATAATCTAATGCCGAAGTTAATAGAAAGTCGATCCTGGGTACCATTAATGGTATCGTTCATGTTCACGAAGAGCGGATTGGGTACATATGCTAAATGGAATGAATATCTCCTGATGCATCAGTTATGTCTATCGAGGAAGGGAAATCAACAAAATTAACGACTTAGCTCCCTGATTTGAGCAGGAGGAAGCAAGCGATAGCGAAGAAAACAAAGAACACCGAACTCCGTATCTATCATTTCGACTCCGCGATACTTTTTACCATAACGTATTTATCAGAAACTTGGTCGATGCGTAAACAGGATGAAAGACCGCTCAGCCTTATTGAACGCGTAGTCGAAAGGACTACGCTGGGAGTATCCCGTGTCACACAAGTGGGGAAGGGATTCGAAGCTCCTGTCTGCATCAACGATCAAAAATCATAGATGCCGTTCCTCCCGTCAAAACTGTCGAAGATAAGATAGACCGGACATACAATGCATATGAACGACAACCGATGACAAGATCCATTAGTGAGTGGATTCCTCGGGATGTCAAAGGTTTTGTAGAAAGACCACCGATGGAATGAATGGTCAGAGTTCTTCACTCAAGAAGAAAGGTATGGTGCTCAACCAGTTCTCGGAGCAAGCAGAAACCACTAGAAACCACGGGGCTACTCTTGCACGCGATACGGAAAAGTGGAAATTTTACTGGTGCCCGCACGTGTAACTCGACGATCAACGGGACTACAGGTGAGGTGATACAGGTGAATGCTATCGTCAAAGTTTTTCTCGTACAGCCAATGGTTTTATCGAGGAACACAGATTGGTTTCTTTACTGGCAACCTGGCAGTGATGTTGTGAGGCTCGTTTCTGATTTTAAGGCATTAATAAAAATGTGGCAAAAATTTGTCTCAAGTGTGAGGAGCGTGCAATTCTGGACAGTGCGATAACCATGTTTTTTTAAATTGCTCCTTTCTCCTTTTAATATTTAGCCAACGTTCACTATAACATCCTTTGGACATTACAGCTTGAAAAAACTGTTTTGACAAACTCGTAAATCGTCATGAGTCTATCAATTCTGCAATTTTGCACAGGCAGGATAACAGACGAAGTGCTGCTAGTGAGAATGCTACTCAAACATTTCTTCGCTGGAGATCGATTTGGAGTGTATGAGCTACCCAGAATCGAGAAAAATTAGAAGGCGTCTCCAATGTGATGAGTGCTAAGATTTTTGGCTTAGGTAATCGAATACAACCACATAGGAGTGAAATAAAAAGTACATTGTGACTCATGGGTTAAGCAAAACGTAGTCAACGCTTTCAGTTTTAAACAGACACGCCTTAGTTCATGGTAAACTTTGTCAAATGAGACAAAGGACATCAAATTTTACAAAGAGCAAAATGCTAGCCTACTTATTCTACCATACTGATATTCCATTTTTCCGAAGCTTAGAAATCGTTCCTTCTTCGTAGGTTATTTTTTTCTCGCCCTGGTCCCAAGCGTCGCGCTGAGCAGCGAATTCCTTAAAAAGCAGGCTTTAGTTGAGTAGGGTCCTATGGTGCCTTCAAATCATTGTTGATGTCGGTGGCTGCCAACCTAACCTTATGATCTTAAATTGTTCTCATTGTATTACAATTTGAATTTTAAACAATCCAAAAACCGGAGCAATATTTCAAAAAACATTTACACGTTCACAGCTATAGCACAATCACACCTTATTAAAATTGACAAGTGCTAAAGTTGCCAGTTTCTACCGCCATCGAAGAATTCACGCATACATTAATTTGGCCACTAGCCGAGAATCACGAGGTTTTCAACAGCTGGGATACTCGGTGTTTTCTTCTTTTCTTTTCATGGATTCACTGTTAGCCGTGATCTTGTTCTTTCTCCAACAGATCGTTTCAATTTCCATTCTTAATACAGACTTTCTTCTTCGAGATGAACATATTTAGTTAGATTTCTGATCTGCTCACAAAATTTTCAGGTCAATTTGGCTTTGAGAAAACAGTACAGAGACTATCGTGATTGCATACAAAGGAGGGAAAATACGTTAAGTGATACAAAACACGTGCAAGTATGAAAAGCGTAATCATTCTGAAGTTGATACCATGGTGAAAGCTGTTATTGGCATAAGATATCGCTTTAAGGTTATCAGTGTAGGAAAAGATGCCGACGTAACTCTACCATGCTTCTCGTGGTTCGTTTTTTCTTTCAAAATTCTTTAAATTTTCCATTCAAAACAGAAGGCGTGCATGAAAAGCGGACTACGTAGTTGCTGATTCAACTCCGAATTCGGGCAACCAAACTGTCCATCATCAGTTGTCGGCAGATCGCGTAGCGGACTTGTCTGGAAAAGACTATCTTGGATCGACAAACTGGGCCTGTGGTGAAGAGCTATAACGATCTAGTAGAGCTATGTTAGGAGTCACACGGAAATCCACTCGATCAGAGCTTAACTCAACAGCATTCATGAAAAAGAAGAAATCCCCAAACAGAAGATACACCGAAATTCCAACATTTTCTCGAATGACGGATGCATTACAACGGAGCTCGCGAAAAATGTTTGTTTTCTGTGAAATCTAATATTGACTGGTCACATAAATAAAAGGTTTGAGGAATCAGTCGTTAGCTCTACATTTACATAAGTCCGTTGATGGAATGGGATTTTTTATTTGAGTCGAAGGTGTAAGTGTTCTACGCTCTGGAGTCAATTTAGATGATAGCGACCTCCAAGAGAATGATTCCTAATTATGCGACGACACAAGCAGAAACCCAAGCGCGAAGGATTCGCGCTGCCTTTGACTCGGCGATATGTGAAGGATTAACTGTAGACTCATGCCACTTACATTGGCGTTTATCATCCAATGAGTTAGTTGGGGATTCAGTAGTTTCTATTCGTTTTTGTCTCCTACCGGAACGACTAGTGTGCTGCTTTTCCTGGACGATGTTGAGAATAACACTTCTCACATAATGTTTCTTATTTTTCCTTCATAATGCCTTGGAAGAAATAGAGCACAAGCAGCGATGACGAACCGAAACCAAACCTCCTAGTTATCAAACAGACCAAGCCTTGAGTTTTAAAAAAGGAAATGTGAGTTAGTAAAGCCTGTTTTTTTGTGAAGAAATCCATGTTTTCATGAGACCAACGTATAGAAAACGTGATTAGCTATTTGTAGAAAGTCAATACAAACCGTGAACGTTATTCACTTCTCATTTCCTTTCCTATTTTCTTCTTTATCTCTTTAAAGAATTCCGTTTCCAGTGTGTCACCAGAAAATGCCGTTGAAATTGAGTCAACTTACAAACCATCTGCTGGAACTATTGGAAGAGCCTTCATAAAAGCCATCGACTTTTTCAAAGAAGTTATCTTTACACTTTTTAAATTCTGAATAGCACCAAATTTATTTTATCATCTCTGCTATATAGAGAATTCTTCGCCTAAACAACAAAGTAAAGGACGCGGATATGTGGAAATACGACTGGCAGCATGCCACCGTTGGTCAAGACTGGCGACCGCTCACGAAGATGCACGAGTCCGGTTTTCGAGCTGAAAAAATCGCCAACAAAGTAAAACGGTAGAAGACTTCACTTCTGAATATATTCTCAGTGAAAAACAGGTTAAAATTGCTAGATCAGTTTGCACGAATTGCAATTCGATGGGAGAATAACCACAACGACGCACAGATATTCGCAAAACTTGGACTTCTGGCCCAGGCCAGATTGAACCACGATTTCCCATACCGGGGGCTCGCGCGTTGCACACTGCGCCACTGAGGCCCTTCATTTGCGTTTCTCTACCGTGAGAAACCGTGAAAAGTGCAAAGGACCTCGGTGGTGCAGTGTGTAATGAGCGAGCGCCGGGAAAAAAAATTGTGGTTCGATTAGGCCCGGAGTCCAAGTTTTGCGAATATCTCAACATTGTTGTGGTTGACTTCGCATAATATCCTGTCGTGAAAATTGTAGTAGGCAGTAAATAAAAAAGTAGACAATGTGAAAATAAATTATCAATAATCACGAGTACTTTGAGTAAATAATCCAGCATTCCGCTTTAAAACGAGATTTGGGGGTTTATTCTTACACAACATTTTCGGATCATAGAAATAAATTGACCGCCGGTGACGGAACTGTTCAGATTTCTGGCCCGTGACAGCGCGAAGATTCGTGTAGGCGATCGTTACGAGTTGCGCCTAACAGCAGTAGATCGAAATCATTCTGGATACTACCGTTGCGTGAACAAACACGGAAGGCGTGTGGTGTCGATGATGTACTTCATAGACGTTGTCAGCAGGGTTAACATGCAAATGGTAAGGTAAACCAATTTTTAAATTTACAAAGGTATGACGAATACTGATTTCGGAGATGGCGTTAACCTGATTGCGTCGTATAGGATAGGCGAACGAAAATAGGAATGATGATACATGTATGCGGATAGAAGTAGAATCTTAGACTTGAAGCGGAGGTGCGTCAAGTGCATCACTTGTTTCACATGTCTCTCCGTTTATCGTCAAGTGAATCGAGCCGGGACCAGTAAATTCTCCACTGTCTGTGTCGTTTGTAAGAGTAGCGCAGTGGGTTTTACTCATTCTATGGACTAACTGAGTATCATGTTTTTTAGGTACTTCACGAAGAATGTTAACCACTATAGCCGTGGAATTACTGTGTCCTTGACATGCAATAGGACCCAATCGCTTACGGTTCTTGAACACTAGCCATAGTTTCGGCGCAGCGGTTGTTCGGCTTACATAATTTGCGCCATTTCGTCGTACACAACTACGTCTTAGATCCTTGGTTGTCAAGAATTTGGATTCATAGTCTTACTTGTGTGATACGCAATACTCATAATTGCGCCTTTTTGTTTACTTGAAATGTTGAGTAAATTTCTATCCTGTTCACCGAGTAGCAAGGCACTGACGAGTAGTTCAGGGTAGAACGATTCGTAGATTCGACAAAGTAGCACAGAGATAGACGTTTTTTGTCTTCACCAGTACATTCTCGATGCTAATGAGAGTTCTACGAGCAAATTGTTTGGCTTTTTTTTTGCTCCGGAGCTGTTGTTCATGATGCCCACTTTCCCACAGAGATCAACATAACTGAAGCATTTAAAGGTATTCATTCTTTCGAACGTAAGTGGTGCATACTTAACTAGTCTATTTCTCGTTAACATCGTTTTAGTGAGATTTAATCGAAGGCCGGTTTCTTCACAGGCGTTATCAAAGCCGCCAAACATTCGTTCTGCGTGGCTAAGGCTTTGTGTTATGGGAACGATGTCATTAGCATAGCGAAGGTGGTTAATTGCCGACCATCAATTTTCACCCCAATGTTGTCCGATTCCAAGGTTCGCACCACATTTAGGAGGGTGGCAGCAAATAATTTTGGAGGGGTAGTATCGCCCTCAAACTCCTTTCTTTACGTCTACGTTAATATCGTTTATCACTTCTACCTCATCTCTGTCGAAAACTATATTTGAGCACATGAAAGTTAAAGAAAGCGGCTTCTTATGCTTTTGAGATTTTCGATAATTCTAGTTACTATGGGTTATGGGAAAGCGCACGGATCTCCCTCACATGAAGGATCTTGAGCCGGCTAGTCGCGAGGCTACGTGGCGCGTCCCCAGGTGGCGGATAGGGGGTTAATCGCGGACAAAAAGCGACCTTTGCTTCCCTGAAACGCAGATGGGTCCAAGGGATGGACTCACTGTTTCTGCCGCGCTGATTGGCACATACCTTCTATATTTGCTAGGCGTATTCATGCATGCGTGTGTGGATGCGTTCTTGCTTATACGGATTGTATTCTACGAGTCAATTCGGCCAGAAGCCTGCAATCAAGTGACTGGGAAGTATATGGGAGGTTAGGAGTCGCCTCCAACGAATAAGTTCCATGTCCACACTGGGAGAACTTGGCATGCTACTCGTAAGTATACTCAGCCTCACGTTCAGAGCCCAGCAAGCTATACTAGGCTATAAAAATTGCTAAACACAGTAAAAAGACAGGCCTCATTCCCCTGACCCCGAAAGACCTCCCAATTTCGCAGCGTTGGGTAGGATGAGTACGGAGAGGCTGCTAAAATTTTAGGGCCAATGGAAGCTTCCTCGATTTCAAAGAACTTGCATCCGAGTCCGCGATACAAGACTTGCTCATGCAAGCAAGAAGGATAAGGTACGACGTCATCGGCCTGACCGAGGGGAGAAGACTCCAGCGTTTCAACGAGGTCTATGACACTGGAGAAGAACTGTTCCTCGGAACATTTGGCAGTAGAAGAGTCGGCAGCATCGGCGCTTTCGTCAACACGAGTTTGTCCATGAACATCGATTGATTCGGACAACTTACAACCCGAATCGAGCGTTTACGATTAAAAAGATGTGGATCAATACCTGCTCTGACAATTTTCGCCGTTTACGCGCCGACATCAAACTACGACCAAGAAAAAGTAACGACGCGTTCCATATTGACTTGGAGAAGTTCTACAGAGAAGATCATACATTCTTCAAGGTTATCATTGGAAATTTCAACGCCAGGATTGGACCAAGAAGAACGTCTAAAGAACGTCACACTGGGACCCACGGATTAGAATGGAATAAACAGGTTGAGTGGCTATCTGAGTTTATCATGGCGTCCAAGACAATCCATGGTAACTCGCAATTCCAGAAACCCCACCCTTGGTGCAGGACGTGGGAGTCTCCCAATGGAGAGTACCATAACGAAATAGACCACATCACAGTAAATAGAAGGAATTGCCTAACAGATGTCGCTGTTGTCCCAAAATTCTACACAGGATCAAATTATCGTCTCCTTCGCTCAAGATTCTATTTCTCGCAGAAAGGAGAAAAAGCCGCTAAATTCTAAAACCGAAGTCCCAGAACTACAGTAAACTGGGATTTATTCAATTCATTAGTCGGCTGTTGGGAAGATACCGTTGTCGATAGCATCGACGAAGAATACGATCGGCTCATTCAATATCTTCACGCTAGCGCTATGAACGCTCAGAGTTCGAAAGTCACCAAGAGACGTCTGTCTCCAGAAACACTCGAGCTGATACCTCAGCGTGGAGTCGCACGGGCTACGGGCAACCGCGAACTAACGTCCGAACTTGCAAAACAATGCAGACAAGCAAAAAAAGATCTTTAAGAGAGAAGAGCAGAAGTAATGGTCGAAGCTGCAGAGGCTGGGAAAAGCATTCGCAAAACCCACCGAAGTTTCGCCAATTACAAAACCAAGACGATTGCACTCTGATGCCCGAACGGAACAGTTACAGCGTCCAGAAAGGCAATGGAGAAAATCACTCACGAATACTACTCGGATCTCCTCGATAGTCACGTTCACGTTCTATCATATGAAATAAAGGATGTATATATCGTACCACCAGTTCACCCTTTAGAAATCCGACATGCCATTTCGTCGGTGAAAGGTCGAACAGCACCAGGTCCGGACAGGGTAAGACCAGAATACCTGAAGAACCATCCGCCAGTCTTCGTAAATACACTGGCTCGGCTCCTCACACGTTACCTGTCCGAATGCAAGGTCTCTTCTCAGCGGAAAACCAGCAAGACCGTGTTATTGTTCAAGAAGAGTGACCTACACGATATCGCCCAATCTGCTTACTGTCTGCGGTCTCCAAACTTTTCATTGGAGTCATCCTAAACAGGATTGACAGAACACTAGAAGAAGGACAGCCATGAGAGCAAGCAGGGTTTCGAAGAGGATTTAGTACGATGGACCTCATCCACGCGGTAACACGGCTCATTGAGGTATCGCGAGAGTACAAAAGACCGCTCTGTCTCACTTTCATGTATTTACAGAAGGCCTTTGATTCAGTTGAGATAGAAGCAGTCTTGGAAGCCCTTCATAGTCAACGAGTCCCTACTCAGTACATAAAGATTTTTCGTGAGCTGTACAAAAATTTTACAACCAAGATATCACCATTCTACAACGATATTAACGTCAGCGTAAAAAGAGAAGTTAGGCAAGGCGATACCATCTCGCCAAAATTACTTACCGCCGCCCTCTGAACGTCATGTGAACATTGGAATAGGATAATAGGAGAGTGAAAATTGACGGTCAACAGTTACACCATCTTCGTTTTGCTAATGACAACGTCCTTATAACACCGAACATTAGCCAAGCGGAACGTGTACTTGACGACTTTGACAAAGTTTGTAGAAAGGCTGGTCTTCGACTAAATCTCGCAAAAACGATGTTCATGAGGAACGGATTAGTTTCGCATGCCCCATTCACGCTCAACGGAAAGAATGTCTCCGATTGCTCCAGTTGTATCTATCTAGGTGGGGAAATCAATATGATAAACGACCTTGCTCCAGAGCTGAGCAGAAGGAAATGAGCAGCTTGCGGAGCTTTCAAGAGCAACGAGGATGTAGTGAAGAGAACAAAAAACACCTGACTCCGTGCCCACCTTTTCGACTCAGCTTTCTATCTGCCAGTGTCATCACCCATCAACGGGATTGACCCATTTTTTCCAATATCTCAGCATCGTTGCGGTTGTATTTTACGTAATACCCTGCCTTCTGCTCTGATCTGCGCCAACGATCAAAAATAAAGACGCCGTTCTGGACGCCAAACAGTCGAAGATAAGGTGGGCCGGACAGGCAATGCGTATGAATGACAACCGATGAACAAGAGCCGTTAGTGACTGGATTCCTAGGGATGTCAAACGTACTGGAGAAAAATCACCGATCCGACGGTCATAGCTCTTCACGAAGAGCCTTGATGAAAGATATGATGCTCGACGAGTCCCTAGAGCGAGCGAAACCCACTGGGCTACTCTCACCCACGACAGAAAAAAATGAAAGATTTACTGGCGCTTACTCGAGTCACTCGACGATCAACGGGACTACAGGTGATACAGGTGATGGTAAAGCATCATTTTCGCAACTCTGTTTGCTCACTTGGCTTTCGTTCTTCTAGAGTTTTAACCTCGTTGAGCTTAGAACTCAAGTAGAAGACAAGCAGCAGCCAGATTGGGAGTGTGTCGTTGAAGTCTCCTTTATTGCGTAGCTACGTGGTGTTGATGGTCTTCCACTGATTATGTACCTTACAGCCTGACAGGTAACCGGTGCAGTGCCGAGCTAGTATGATGGACTGTGAAGACTAGTGGAAAGTTCTTCAAATTTTGGGCTCCTAAACTTGTCTAAACCACGTGTTATTCGTTTTTACTGTGACGAAGTAGCATGCGGATTTAAAAAGGGAAGAAATCGCATGAATAAAAAATCAGCCTTCCTCAACCTGCCTGTTGATTAAGAAACTCCAAAAGTGAAAGGGAACGGTGATAAAGGTTATACAAAAAAGGCGTATTTTGTGATTGATATAGCAAAAGCAGGAGCTCTAAACTGTGACAATTTTATATTCAAGTTTAGAAAATGCAACCGTTTTTAGGATATCAATTAGGGAGGAAGAAGCTGTCTCTTTTATCAAAAACCCACTATGATAAACTGATTCTAGTTACAACCTAACACTGAGAAATATTCGCTGAGAGTTACTTTGTCGACGTGGTGTGAGACTGATTGAATCAGTTCCGAAGCACCCAAAAATTTCAGGTCAGCTCCAGGCTGGATGCAATACCGCCATCTGTTCCCATAGTGAATCAGCACATCGACGGACAATTGATAGCGAAATCTGTGGTAGGGAAAAGTCACGTCCTATTCTTTCCAGCTGGAGTTGAGTTGATACTGCGTAAATTGTATTAATTCATTTCTCTCTAATGGTGATTCACAGTTTGCTTCTTACCATTTTAAATCTGTCGTTCTCATTGTAAATGATCGGACTGAACAGTGGAATTCCCCGAACCGGATGGAAATGTTTCTGGGCACATATAATTATTGACAACGGTAATTGAAACAAATATTGAAGGCTGCGTGTTTGAACTTCAAGACATGTCAGAATGGCCGCTAAACCACCTGTTTCATCTGTAGTCCCGTTGATCGTCGAGTGACATGATCGGGCGCCAGTAAATCTTCCATTTTTCCCTGTCGTGTGCAAGAGTAGCCCAGTGGGTTCTGCTCGCTCTAGGGACTCGTCGAGCATCATATCTTTCTTCAAGGCTCTCCGTGAAGAGCTCTGGCCATGGGGTCGGTGGTTTTCCTACAGTACGTTTGACATCCCGAGGAATCCAGTCACTAACGGCACTTGTCCATCAGTTGTCATTTATACGCATTACGTGACCGGCCCATAGTATCCTCGAATGTTTGGCGTACAGAGCGGCATCTTTGATTATTGATCATTCACGCAGATCGGAGCTTCGGATTCCATCCCTTACTTGTGTGAAACGGGATACTCCTAGCATCGTCCTTTCGACTGCGCTTTCGATAACGCTAAGTCAACTATCAGTCTTACCCTGTCCGGACCTGGTGCTGTTCGACCTTTCACCGACGAAATAGCATGTCGGATTTCTAAAGGGTGAACCGGTGGTACGATATATACATCCTTTATTTCATATGATAGAACGTGAACGTGACTATCGAGGAGATCCGAGTAGTATTCGTGAGTGATTTTCTCCATTGCCTTTCTGGACGCTGTAACTGTTCTGTCTGGGCGCCGAAGAGCAATCATTTTGGTCTTGTAATTGGCGAAGGTTCGGTGGGCTTTGCGAATGCTTTTCTCAGCCTCTGCAGCTTTGGGCATTACTGCTGCTCTTTTCTCTTTAAGATCTTCTTTTATCACTTGTCTGCATTGTTTTGCAATTTCGGACGTTAGTTCGCGGTTGCCCGTAGCTCGTGCGATTCCGCGCCGATGTATCAGCTCGAGTGTTTCTGGAGACAAAGTCTCTTGGTGACTTTCGAACTCTCAGATTTCATAGCGCTTTCGTGAGGATGTTGAATGCCGATCGTATTCTTCGTCGATGTTGTCGACAACGGCATCTTTCCAACAGCCGACTAATGAATTGAATAAATCCCAGTTTACGGTGGTTCTGGGACATCGGTTTTAGAATTTAGCGGCTTTTTCTCCTTTTTGCGAAAAATAGATTCTCGCACGAAAGAGACGATGATCTGATCCTGTGTAGAATTTGAGACAACAGCGACATCTGCTAGGCAAAAGCATCTGTGATGTGGTCTATTTCGTTATGGTACTCTCCATTGGGAGAGTCCCACGTCCTGCACCAAGGGTGGGGTTTCTGGAATTGCGAGTTACCATGGATTGTCTTGGACGCCATGATAAACTCAGATAGGCGCTCAACCTGTTCGTTCCATTCTAATCCGTGGGTCCCAGTGTGACGTTCTTCAGACGTTTTTCTTGGTCCAATCTTGGCGTTGAACTCTCCAATGATGACCTTGAAGATTGTGTGATCTTCTCTGTAGAACTTCTCCAACTCCATATGGAACGCTTCGACTTCTTCTTCGTCATAGTTTGATGTCGGCACGTAAACGACGAAGATTGTCAAAGCCGGAATTGATCCACGTCGTCTTAATCTTAAACGTCCGCTAAATACCATTTTTAAACGAAATGTGACACGTGACCGTTCAGGAGTTTCCGACATTTCTTTGGGCATTTTTCTTACATTAAAAGACATTGATCATTTAGTAGTTCTGCTAGTGCTGCTTTAACTATTATCAATCCCTCTTTTAAAGAGTTTACTTCCTCAACGTGGTTGCAGGTGTTTATGAAGGTGGACCACTGCAGTGAACGTCCAGTTATGGCTGGTTAATTTTCCAACGAAAATGATGAAAATTAGATGGCCTTGAGCAAAAATTTTACTGCTGTTTATGTCGCATTAGTGATCAAGCGTCAGTGCTCTGCTATGGTACATAAGGAAGCCGAACAGATCTAGAGCTTTATGATCGCTCGAAGGCTAATGATAATGATAATGATCGAAAACGGAAAATGACGCAAGTGTAATGGCTGATACTGAGCTTACAGTTACTTCATTGCTACTCGGATAGGACAAGTTCAGGAAGAGTCGTTCTAGCTCTAACTAAATTTCCATCCAATTTTGATCTTTTGCACATAAAATGATGTAAGAAGCATTTTTTCTTTAAAAAGTGAAGAAAGTGTAGTTCTTACGTCGTCATTACAGAAAGTCGCCGCTAATTACTTTCTGGATAGCAGTCACCCTCATCATGTTGTGAATCCGTTTTCACGATCAGTGATCATTTTTAGCTTTACTTCGTCCACTTAATTAGGCTTCCTTAGAAAAAATGTAGAGTTGGTCGGTCTAGCTTACTTTATCAGAAAGATGAATTCCTACTCTACGTTGGTGTTTGGCATCCAGAAACATCCGTTGTCACAATAGGATGCTAAAATGTCGACGGAATCTTTGAAAAACTCGGGAGCGCAGGTGTCTGCGATGGGAAACGGACCCGTTATTACCCTTTCCGAGGACTAAGGTGTTCGCCACCACACCATGCTGGTTTTTCGTTTCGCCTCTGTCACAGCTAGTTTTATCAATCAGTGCCATCAGCAATCACCCGTCAACGGCATTTATTTGGGAAACCCAAATCCGCATTGAACCCAGTTAAGCTGAAGCTGTAGTTGAAATCACAATACTAACTTTTAGTTAACTTCAATCCCGTTGACGCATCGTGATTGCTGACAGCATCGATCGAGAAAACTAGCTGTAACACAGGCGAATCGAAGGACCCGCATGTTGTCGTGGTGAACGCTTTAGCCCCCGGAAGGGGTAACAGCGCGTTCGCTACCCACCGCAGACACCTACGTTCTGGAGTTTTACAAATATCTCAGCATCAGTGTGGTTGTATCTCGCATCATACCCTGCCGTAAAAAATTATAGTGGGCGGCGAATAAGAAGTTAGAATCGAGGAGATTGTTATAACCACTATTTTCTATACAACTATGGATTCTTAGTTGTTTTAGGCATCACCATGGAGCGATTGTAATAAATGTGGTGAAGAAATAGGAGAGCAGGCGAGGAGCATTCAGTGCATGATCCAGGTGGTCTCTTCATTTCATATTTCTCCGATTTCTATTTCGTGCCAATAAAATATTAGTGGGCGTGTTTTAATAGAGTGTTAGACTTCATTTTAAAACGATCTCGGCTTGTGGTGAACTTTGCTATTTGGAATGAAACCATAAGAATCTACGGACTTTGACAACAAAATGCAGCCAGTCCTTTTATGAAGAACCCTTGACTTTCTGTGGCCCACAAAGGGTTGCTTATTCGTTTTTTGGCTCATATTTTGAGTAGAAAAACAACTGAGAAAAAGTGTTTTCAATCCCATTTTTCTGTGATGATCAAAATGGTGTTCCCAGATTCGTTCGTTTATTCGATTCGTTTTCCGGATTGTCGTTACAAGCAACTACTGTGATAACAAGTTTTCAATTTTCTGGCATATTGGTGTTTTATTAATTGGCTATTAAAAACCTTGGGACAAAATAACATTTTACATCATCCATATACACACGTATCTAATATCTCCTCTCTAAGATAGATGTATCGTTTAGTTTAAAAGTTGAACGGTTATCGGGAATTGGGAAATAATAATTGTAACAGTTAAATATTTCGAGAAATCGATGTCATTCCTTGGAACCCTGCAGAGTGGCCAATGGGTGATGCTGAATGTCATTACAGCCGATCGTGCCGTTGTCTCATTTGCACGAGAAATCGAACTGGATCAAACTGTTTGGTTCGGTGCCGTGTGATTCCACGCTGGTTCCGCTTGAGTTGCGCAAAACATTCGCCAGAAGCACTAAATTCGTTCAGTACAGACCATGTTGGGTAGGTTGTTCGTCGCTATCGTTATGAATCCTTGACGTCAACATGTGATTTGAACATGTACCGACATTACTTTTCGAGCTTTACGGCAAACGTAAAGTGCAAAACAATCCCATTAGCATAGGTCTGGTAATGACTGCATACCCGCAAACTGGACGTTTGCACAACTTGATCGTTGACTACTTCTTTATTTTATTATTTGCAAAGACAGTTCTTATGAACACAAAATGAAATCTGGAATGCGCAAAAAGTGCACCAGTCGGATTGTTTATGCGGTGTTATCACCTCTCGCCTGTCAACAGTCGTTTGATCGGCAAGTGAATTGGCTGGGCGCCAGTGAGTGTTCTACTTTTCCCTATCGCGTGCAAGAATAGCTCAGTGGGATCTGCTTGCTCCAGGAAACCGTTGTGCATCATATCCACCTTCCACGGCTTTTGTGAAGAACTCTGACTATCCCGTCGGTGGTCTTTCTACAGAATGTTTGACATCCCGAGGAATCTAGTCACTAATGGCTCATGTCCATTGGTTGTCCTTCATACGCATTACGTGTCCCCTTATCTTCGACTGTTTGGCGTACAGAGCGGCACCCTTGATTTTTGATCGTTGACGCAGATAGGAGCATCGGATCCCATCCCTTACTTGTGTGGAACGGGATACGCCTAGCATCGTCCTTTCGACTGCGCGTTCGATAACGTTAAGTCAACTATCATTCTGCTTACGCAACGGTCAGGTTTCCGACTGATACTTTGCCGCGCGAAGTATCGTGAAGTCGAAGTGGTGGGTATGGATTCCGGTATTCTTTTTTTCCTTCATTACATCCTCGATGCTCTTGAGGGTTTACCAAGCCGCACGCTTCCTCCTGCCCAACTCTGGAGTTAAGTCGTTTACTGTGTTTTTCTCGACCTAGATAGACGTAACTGGAACATTCAGAGGTATTCACCTCGTTGGGCCTGAATGGTGCATAAGTAACCAATCTGTCCTTCAGCAACATCGTTTTTGTAAGGTTCAGTCAAAGACTGATCTTTCCACAACCTTTATCACAATCGGTAATCTTTCGTTCCGCTTGGCTATTGTTTGGTGTTATAAGAACGTTTTCATTAGCAAAGCGTAAGGAATGTTATTGGCTACCATCGATTTTCATTCCCATGTTATCTCACTCCAATAATCTCATGACGTTCTCGAAAGTGATGGTAAATGATTTTTGCGTAATGGTAAGGCCTTAGCCAACCTCTGTTTTGACGTCGATGTTAATATTGTTGTAGAATGGCGACATCATAGTTGGGAAAGAAACAGCTCACGAAGAATTTTTATGCACTGCGCTTTTATCCAAACCGACCAAAAACTTTCCTTAAATTGATAAACATGAGACAGAGCGGTCTCTCGTACTCTCGCGATCCTTCAGTGACTCTTGTTATCGTGTGAATGTGGTTCATCATACTAAATGTTTTTCGAAACTCTCCTTGCTCATATGGCTTTCCTTCATCCAGTGTTCTGTTAATCCTACTTAAGATGATTCGAGTGAAAAGTTTGTAGACGACAGACAACAAGCAGATTGGGCGATAGTTGCCGATATAGGTAATGCACCCAGCCAGAGTGTTTATGAGAACTACCGGAAGGTTCTGTAGATTTTCAGATCTTATTCCTTCTGGACCTGATGTTGTTCTATTCTCCACCGACGAAACAGCTTGTCGGAAATTGGAAGGAAGAGCCAGGCGGCATCTTTCCAGCAACCGACAAATCAGCTAAGTAAATCGCAGTGTATGGTGGTTTTGGGCCTTCGGTTTTTGAATTTAGCGGCTTTTTCTCCTTTCCGCGAGAAATCAAACCTTGCACAGAGAAGACGGTGCTCTGATCCCTCGTAGAATTTTGGCATAACAGAGGTAACGGTTTGGCAAAAACATCATTTACTACAATGTTGTTTATTTCCTTATGGTTCCCTCCACTGAGAGACTTCACGTACAGCGTTGATAGAGAGAGAGTGGGGCTCCTGGTACTGCCAGCAACCGCGAATAGTCTTGTTCTTCAAGATAAACTCAGACAGCAGGTCACCCTGCTCGTTCCATTGTAATCCGTGCATCCGTGACCTGATTACCTGGATAATGAACTTAAAGAACGCATGGTCTTCTCTGCACAACTTTTCCAAGTCCATGTAGAACGCTTTCACTTTCGCCATCGTTGTATCTTGATGTGCGTGCGTAAAAGATGATGATTGTCAAAGCCGATATGGATCCTCACCTTTCCAGTCGTAGAGGTTCAATTCGGGTTGTTGGTCGTCGGAAAGAATCGAAGTTCATAGTTAAACTCGTGTTGACGATAACACCAGCGTCATCAACTGCTTACTGTCGCCTGTTCCGATGAACGGTTCTTCTCCGATGTCAAAGGCGAAGTTGAATGGGTGGTCTCTTCTCGTCTTAGCTAGTCCGATGACACCGTGCCTTATGCTTTTTGTTTGATTAAGTGTTCTACCGAGGATTAAGATGCAAGTGTTGTAGGTACACAACACCTCAGTGCTTTGCGATTTAGACAGCCTAAAATTTTAGCAGCCTCTGCACTCTACCTACCCAACGCTACCATTCGTTTATTCTACTGTGTTTAGCTTTCTGATGTATAGTTTGCTGAGCTCTGCGTGGTTGCTAAGTTTACTCACGGGTTGCTTGCCAGTCTCTCCCAATGTAGATGCGGAGCGCGTTTGTTGGAGGGAAATCCTAACAGCCTCCCATACACTTTCCTGTTATTGAATTGCAGGCTTTTGGCCGAATTGACTTATAGTATGCAGCCCACATAAACGAGAGCGCACTCATGCACACATGGATGAATAGAACCTCGTAAATACAGAAGGCATCTGCTAAATCAGCGCAGCAGAAACGGAGTCCATCCTCTGGATCCACCTGGACCTCAGGGAAGCAAAGGTCTCTTTTGGTCCGCTATTAGCCTCTTATCCGCCAACTACGTCGCCTTTCGACTAACTGGCATAAGATGCCTCTAAGAATGAGATGCGTGGTGCGCTCTTGTGCAGAATAAATAAGGTCGTATAATTTTTATTTCCTTTTCTTCTAACTTACTACTGGAAAACTTGGACACAAGGCAAGTAGCTTATCGTGTGGCTAAGCAGGAATATGACGTGTTGCACAGTTTGAGTGGTCTGGATTCCTGTACTTCAACGGTCAACGGTTAAGGGCGTTGTCACTTAGTTTTGATTTCGCAGACAAGGTACACGAGCATGTGATATGCTTTCACGACAGCCGGTATAAGAAAGTCGTCAGAGTGTCAGCTTTCTATAGCCAGCATGCATGTTTTCTGTACTATGTCAAGGGAATAACGAAGAAAAAAACCTCGCCTAGACTGTAAGTTGTTAATAATAAAGCTAGAAGAACAGTTTCATATTCTTTGTCTCATTTGGTTGCGAATAGAACTTACTGCGGCACTTTGTCACGCGCAGGATAGAATCCATGATGTTAGTTCTAATAACTCAATGACCGAACGAGTGCAGGAGAGTAGGTGATAGTGTTAACACTCTTAATAAATAGTAAATAACACACAACGCAGAAGTTTGCGTAGCTGCAGCGTGTGAAACGACAAAATTCCTTGTCGGTTGCAGCTTTCGAAAATGGTTGCTTTTCGAAAATCGACCATAATTTTTTGATAGAACAAGGAAGGATTGAAGGCCCGGCTTTAATCGGCCTCTAAGGCATGAGTCCTGTATTCGACATCATCAACAAACGCAGTGTTCATTGAAAGCTTATTCTCATCCCTTCAGTGACTTGCGGTGGCCTATTAATGTATCAATTCAATGATTCTATCCACCGAGATAATTCTGTTACCAAATTGCCGACCTAGGAGTGCGGGAGGCTTCCTTATACCGGAGCGCCAGAGTGGACTAAGGACCATGTGTGCATTACAGAGCACCTCTAACCACTGCGCTACATGTATACCTCAATTCTTCGATAACTACTGGGTTTAAGGTGTTGAGAACACAGCATAATTACAGAAAAGACTGTTTTATCGTTCTACCAGTATGTGTGGATGCATAACACTAATCACCATTTGAAAGTGTTTTGGTGTTTCTGTTGAGCACGTTTCCTATTTTTCATACCATTTCATTTAATAGGATAGTCGCCATTCATCATAATATGTGAGATTAGGATCAAAGTCAGATTACCTGCCTAACCATTGATCAATTAACTCAAGAAAAAAGTTTGTAAATTACCAGCTATAAAAAACACGTTCCCACAAAACATCGCTGACAACACCTGCGCTGAACAGGCAGGGTCCAGAAGGCGGTCCAATTGGGTCCAGAAGTTGTTTCAAAAAGAAAACGTGTAATAACCACTGAAGAGGAAATGAATGCATAGCATGCGATGCACTCTGACCATTGTTTTCCCGCGTCTACCTTTACACTGAGTATAATGCATATCAAGGGTTAAGTTTGAAAGATGGTTGAGAACCGCTTTAGGCTTGAACACCAGGTATTTATACAGGCACGTATTCAGCTTTGTTCTCCAGTGTTTTTAATGCTACTGCGCCAAACGTGAAATGTGATGAATAAAATTTCTACCTTTTTTAGCAACTTTGTTCCAAAGAGACGATGGTTGACCGCAATCTCACGTCGGTTGACGAACTGGGAGAGGTCCGTGTGCTCGACTACATTCCAAAGGGCGAATTTCTTTTCGGAGAGATTCTGCCCCGCCTACTAGCTCCCGTTGTTAGAAAAAACTACCTAGTGAGGCGCCAGTCAGCTGCTCTTTGCGCTTATTGTGCATCCTTTTTCTTATCTTTCATTAACTGGTTTGACTTTTTTCAGATTATAGAGACGAATCCAGTTGTTTTCACTTGCGAAATGCCTGTCGACGAACCAGGCGGCGTACAGTGGTTTTCGAAGAAAAAAGGAGCGATTAATTACAGAACCGTAGTGAAGCAGTATCAGGTGGCTGTTCACTCACGACTAAAACCTTAATGCGCTTTTTCACACATTGCCTTCGGGAAATAGAGATACAGTATTTTTGTTGGTGCTAATTGCGGAATAGAAGTAATTGGAAAATGATGAAGGCGGATTGATAACAAATCATGAAAGAAATCATTGTGTGGAGTTCAGGGACGTTTTTCATTCGACGAGACTTCTCGGCTATACATTTCTAGTGCAGAGCTAGAAGATTCAGATGAATATTTGTGAGTTTTCGCAAAGTATTTGCAAGCACCTCAGCTACTTTAGAATGTGGTTGTGAATTTGGAAACGACGAAAAACCATGGGATTTCCGGTATACTCAATGAGTATAAGCTGTTTTGTTATCTTCGTTGTCCCAGAAACACTGCGAGACCCGAGCAGGTTCGTCATGAAGACATAAAGTAGGTCCTAATGTGGCGAACAAGTGATTGAAAGCGCTCAAAAACCTAAAAAACGTCTTGCTTTGTTTTAACATACCCCTGTAGTTCTGAAGGTCACCTAATAGTGCAGCACAACAGAAACGAAATTTAGGTTCGTGTTCAAATAATGAGAGCGGGTTAACTCTTATGTCACTGCAACACTTACTTTCAATTTCATTTTCATACATACGGCGAAAGTAATCCTATGCAGCTGCTTTATTCAGCATTGCAGTTTCCTGTGAGTGGTATGTTTTCATAAAGGAGAAAGATCGCCTTTCACCAATACTGGGCGCTCGTGGAATGTTGATTTTTAAGCTCTACATTCAATACAGTGTGTCTAACACTTTTACCGTGGTTTTGTTTAGTACTGATTGGAGGATGTCCAGTACTCTGTTTCATTCACTCAATCGGTTTAGGTGTCTCACTGATAAGGTAGAGGTGAAACCATAACAGTATGCATAAGTTTCAGACTACTCCAAAGATATAAGTACCTATTCAACTCTCATCCTCCCAATAGTTTGCCACCTCATGTGACTGGGAGGTGTTTCTGGGTATCGGGCTACGATGTACAGTAGGGGATTTATCCCCACAGCTGGGTCTCCCAAGCTGAGTAGGAGGAGTCTGGCGTTTTAATTAGCAGCCCAGCTAAGAGTAAACCAATATCAGGATCCACCGCCATCCTGGTATCAAGCAAGTCGCATGATGGTAAACGACTGTCAGCCTGTCTAAGAGTTAAGAAAAAAAAAGATTAGTCGGGGATATTAGTCTGTGTTGTTGTAGTGGAGAAGAGAGAATTTTCCTATTTTTCAACCGAACGTATAAGATTCTAGCACACTATTTTTCAGCGAAATAAACACACACTGTGGTACTAATCGCTTACCAGAGATGGCCATTGATAGAAGGAAATCAAACGACGTAAAAAAGCAGTGCCGTGTTTCAGTTGTTACACGACCGACAAGGTTTTGATGGGTGTTCACGTAATTCGTGTGCTGGAAAACGACCGTACTCGCGAGACTGTCGAAAATCTTCGAATGTTCTTCCGATTTGCAGCCTTCACATTCATATTTGTGCTGATCGTCGGACAAGTGATGAAATAGAATGGTCCTTAATTTATCGGCTAGTTCATTAACAAATGAAGGCGCTTCAACTTATTGCAAAATATCGTGTAGATTGTATAGCTTTGTAAACAATAAATACGTTTTATGGGCATATTGACTGCGTATCATATTGACAAAATAAAAAAAAGATAAAGCTCTTGGCGTTGATCAATTCCTGAGAGATGCGCCATCCATTCGACTTCATTAAACATCGCGTGGAGGTGATTGAATGCATGTCTTGCCTTCACAATGGCTCACGGTGGCCTACCGATTTATTGAGCCAGTGCTGCTATCTTCCAGACAAGTCTGGTACCAATTTGCCGATCCTGTAGGAATGGAAGGTTTGGTAGGACAAGGACACTGGAATCAATTCCATGTGTATTGCAGGGCGCCTCCGACGACTGAGCCACACGCGCCCTTCATAGCGATAAATAAGATGTCATTTTACGGATTCATTTTTATCGTTTTGAGTCAATTTGATGAAATTCATTTCGCTTTCAAACTTCAAACTGCTTCCTAGATTTTCGTCTAATCACTTAGTCTTAACACAGAATGAATGTGATAGGTTTTTATAGCATTTTCATATTCTCTTTCTTCAAATATTGCTTATTTTCATTTGACAGAACAAACAAGAATCTCTTTATCAAAAACAATTATCACGTTGATCGTTTCAATACTTCATTTCTCTGGTTGATGGAAATAAGGAGGGACGGGATCTCATAGGACGAAGTTTAATTGATAAGAATTCATCAGATATCATAAACATCAGTACTAGTATAATATTTTCGGTGAAGAGGATGAATGGAGGTGCTCATCCTTCTCCCACGGCCAATCGTGCCGACGGTGTAGACGGAACATGTGGAAGAACGGTGTCTGCCGGAGTCCATCGTTCGCCTAAAGCACGATGATCCACCATCACTATGTTCTTCAAGCATTTTTCACTAGAGTGAAAAGAACGTCAAGCACAGCAGTTTGAAGGTCCAGCTTACAAGCCATTGAAAATCTGTCATCAATATGTAGTTACGGAAATGAAGTGAAGCAATCTTAGTTGGATGGAATGAGACCAGTCAATGTTGAGTCTTACTCCCAGCTCCTCGTTTTTTCTGTTGTTCTCTTTCACAATGAAACAATCAGAGCTCGCTTGATGAAAGGAATTGACACCTCTGTAAAAATGGAACCAATCCATTTTCGAAAGAGACTGACCTCGCCGTTCTTCTCTAACTCATCGTTATTTCTGAATAAATTAGCAAGTCTGGAATGACGTTTTGGCGAGAATTTTTCCACTGCTGCTCTTCCCTAAGTTTACGTTTTTTTTCTGCAGTTCTTAACAAACTAGAAGCTCCTTATTTCAAAAAGAACCCAACCTTTCCAAAAACTTCCAAACGATTTCTAAAACTTTAAAAACGGAGAAAACTGAAAGAAGCTTATTTAGCACTTGTGCTAAAGTGGAGTGACACCCACGTACTCTTAAAGTCTTCAACTCTACTCACACAGAGGAAAACTTTATCAACGAGTTGATGACATTTCACAGAAAAAAAGGCAAGGCATCTAAACATCTCAAGTGAAAGGAATGGTATTTCGGAAAGAACAGTCATGAAAACTGGCGTGAATGCCGCGCTATAGCAAGTTCTGAACCAAACGGTATGATCCGCCTGCTGAATTCCTCACCAACTTTCGATGGGAAGCTATAAATAGCTTTAGAAGATCCGGCTACTTCGAATTAGGATTTTTCTAGTGAGCCTAATCCTCTCAGAATTTCAACTCATCCACAAAAGCCATTGTGCATCGAAGTGTGTACGTCCGCCACATGAGGAAGGAAGTGAAGTAAACTCACCAATCTTTCAAAGAACCGATCGCGTTCGACATCACTCCGTCGGCGATCGTCATCAAATTTCTTGTAGTAAGAATCATACTCTCCACGTGATACAACACCGTCGCCTACGAAAGTATTTTTAAATATTCTGAGGAGAAATTCGCTTGTTTCATTGGATCAATCAAGCACTTTATCTCGCACACGCTATATTCCAAAAGAAACAGCGATGCAAGTCTAGTGTGGCACATTCAGATCGACCATCGAAGCTCTTTAATCGATTCACAGATTTTGTACTGCATTAGATAGTATTCTTAGCTAAGGTGTCATTTCAGCAGAAGATAATTTTTACACATGCATATTGCTTCTGCTATTAAAGCACTCTAATTCAGTAAACAGTTAAGCAAAACATTTTATCGCACCATCCTCATCCAGTTTATGAAAAGCGGCCGATTGCGTTTCAATGTAATGTTGATCGCCCAGGATAAACTCCGTGAACGTGATCTGTTCGTCTCCATCTTTATCCAGACGCCGGAACTCTGCAATAACAAAGCAATGTTGTCCATGAACATCGATTCATTCGAACAACTCACAACCCGAATCGGACGTTTACGTTTAAAAAGACGTGGATCAATTCCGGTTTTGACAATATTCGTCGTTTACGCGCCGACATCAAACTATGACGGAGAAGAAGTCGAAGCGTTCTGTATGGACTTGGAGAAGTTCCACAGAAAAGACCACACATTCTTTAAGGTTATCATTGGAGTGTTCAACGCCAAGATTGGACCAAGAAAAACGTCTGGAGAACGTTACATTCGGGCCGACGAATTAGAATGGAACGAGCTGGGTCAACGGCTGTCTGAGTTTACCATGACGACCAGGACCATTCGTAGTAACTTCCAATATTAGAAGCTCCACGCTCAACGATGAAAGCCCTAATGGAGAGCACAATAACGAAATAGACAATATCGTAGTAAATGAAGGTATTGCCTAACATATGCCGCTGTTATACCAAAATTCTAACAGGGTCAGGCCGGCATGGAATCGCACGAGCAACAAGCAACCTCCAGTTCACGTCTGAACTTGCAAAAAATGCAAATAGGCGATAAAAGAAGACCCTAAAGAAAGAATAGCAGCAGTCATAGTCCTGCAGAGGACGAAAAAAGCATTCGCAAAGCCCACCGAAGCTTCGCCAATTACAAGACCGAGATGTTTGCACTCCAGCGCCCAGACGGAACAGTTACAGCATCCAGAAAGGCAATGGAGAAAATCATCCACGATAACTATTCAAATGTTTTCAATAGCCACGTCCTGTCGCACTCATATGAAATAAAGGAGGATGGATATGTCGTATCATTGGTTCCCCATTCCAGGATCCCGACATGCTATTTCGTTTGTGAAAAATCGAGCAGCACCAGGTCCTGGCAAGGTAAAATCTGAACACCTGAACAACCTTCCGCCAGTTCTCGTAAACACACTGGCTCGGCTCCTCATATGTCACCTGTCTAAATGCAAGGTCCGCACTCAGTGGAAGACCAGCAGGACTGTGCTATTGTTTAAAAACGACGACCTCCACGATATCGGCATCTATCGCCCAATCCGCTGGCTGTCTGTCTTCTACAAACTTTCCATTTGAGTCATCCTAAACATAACTGACAGAACACTGGACAAAGGATAGCCATGAGAGCAAGCAGGGTCTTGAAAAGGATTAAGTACGATGGGCCACATTCAGACGACAACAAGACTCAATAAATTATCGCTAAAGTAGAAAAGAGCGCTCTGTGTCACTTTTACCGACTTAAAAAAGGCTTTTGACTCAGTTGAGATAGAAACAATCATGGAAGCCCTCGATAGTCAGGAAATCCCTACAGATTATTCGTGAGCTGTATAAAAATTTCACAACCAATCTATCACTATTCTACAACGATATTCACATCGACGTCAAAAGAGGGTTAGGCAAGGGGATACCATCTCGCCAAAATTATTTACCACCACCCTCCAGAACGTCGTGCGAACATTAGAATGGGAAAATGTGGGAGCGAAAATCGATGGTCGGCAGCTACACCATCTTCGCTTTGCTGATGACATCGCCCTTATAACACCAAACATCAACCAAGCGGAACGCATGCTTGCCGACTTTGATAAAGCCTGTGGAAAGATTGGTCTTCGACTAAATCTCACAAAACGATGTTCATGAAGAACGGATTGGTTTCGTATGCCCCATTCACGCTCAGCGGAACGAATATCTCCGAATGCTCCAGTTATGTCTATCTAGGTCGGGAAATAAACATAATGAACGACTTAGCTCCAGAGTTAAGCAGAAGGAAACGAACGGTTTGTGGAGCTTTCAAAAGCATCGAGGATGTAGTTAAAAGAACAAATAAATAGCATCCTAATCCGTGTCCACCTTTTCGATTCCTCGGTACTTCCTACGCTAATATATGCGTTCGAAAGCTAGTCGCTGCGTAAGCGGGATGGAAGACCACTTAGCGTTATTGAACGCGCAGTGGAAAGGACGATGCTAGGAGTATTCCGTTTCACACAAGTGACGGAAGGGATCTCAAGCTCCTATGTGCATCAACGATCAAAATCAGAGATGTTCTATACGTCAAAATGTCGAAGGTGGGGAGGGATACGTAGTACGTATGAGGAGCAACCGATGGACAACAGCCAATAATGACGGGATTCCTCGTGACGTCACACGTATGTAAGAAGACCAACGACCCAATGGTCACAGTTCTTCACGAAAAGCCTACAGGAAAGGTATGATGATGCACAACGAGTTGCTAGGGCGAGCAGAACCCATTGAGATACTTTTACACGCGATAGGAAGAAATGTAATATTTACTGGCGCCCGCTCGAGTGACTCGATGATCAACGGAACGGCAGATGACACAGGTGATAGTTAGGTTAGTATGCGAAGTTGATTTGGGGATTTAGAAGAAAGGAACTAGGCGAAGGAAGCAATAAATTCTTTGGATACCACTGAAATCAAAACTAAAGAATTAGAATGTTGAAATGAAGTTAGATGAACGCCTTGAATTAACTCATTTTCAAATGAACAATGTGATTGGTATTATCCGTTCTTAGAAAATAGGTCCACGGATCTCCCTAACTGAAGGATACCTGGCGTGTTAACCGCGAGATAATGTAGTGCGTTCCGCACGTGGCTGATGGAGTGTTAAACTTGCACCGATATGGACTAGTGCTTCCCTGAGGCGAATGTGTATTCAGTGAATGGACTAGGTTTCTGCTGTTCCGATTCACATACCTTCTGTGTTTATAAAGGCGTATTTATGTCTTCTTGCGTGGGTGTTCTCGTCTATGCAAACTGTATTCTATATCTTGATGTGGCTAAAATCCTGCAGTGACTGCGAAGCGCATGGAAGGTTAAGCGTCGTCTCCAACAAACATGCTTCATGCATACTCTAGGAAAGAATGGCAAGATACCCATGAGTATATCCAGCCCTATTTCTGAGCTCAGCAAGCTGCACCTGGGCATCAAATGCTTAACAGAAGAATAAGTTGGCCTCATTCCTCTGTCCCCTGAAGTGCTGCCGATATGGCACGGTTAGGTAGGACGATTGCGGAGAGGCTGGTAAATTCTCAGAGCTACTCTCTAGGCTGCCCAAATCGCGATGGACTAAGGTGACGATCTCTGTAAATAGTGGACGCTTATCTGCATTCGATTCCTCGCCAATATGCACGATCGTGCAGGTAAGAACGATGAGGTACGATGTCATCGAAGCGGCTAAGACGAGATGACGCTACGCATTCCAAACCTACTGCTATACAGAGGTGACTCGTCGGTGACCTTTCAAACAGGATGGTTCTTCAGTTATTGTTACTCAATATCAGTATATTCTTTAGTTGAGTGATGCTCTACTCACCTTGATTGGAGAAGCCGGGACTAGCTATAAAGGTCTACATCACGAAAGTCAAAGGCTGTGAGCAATCAACTCGAATCATAGAAAATTCAAAGAAGGTGAAGGAGCCCGGAACGTGAGCTGAGTATCACTTTTATAACAAGCTCATGTTGTCCTAATAGTCCAAGAAAGTAATAAATAGTTTTGCATCTTATAGACAACATTTTTCATTGAAATTATCTACAGCATTAACATACAGCAATGACTAACCGTTAGCTCGTGGGTTAATTTTATCGAAAGGAATCGGAGTGATTGTTTGTGGTGAGATATGTGCAGGTGTCACTATACCAGCCATTATCACCATCAATAAAGCAAACATTCCTGGAAATTCCGACAAATTCTCACTGAAATAGCTTTTCGATTGATGACCGGATTTTAGGAAATCAGCAACACTTACGGTGTACTCAAAGACTAATCGCTAAACTAACGGCTGCTTAATGATTATTAGGCCCGATAGAATAATTAATAACAGGCAGCGGAGCTTCTTGTTCATCTTAAGATCTTTCCATTATGGAGAATAAAAGTGGATTCAGACAAAGAAGGTACCAACCGAAATCTCTGACTGCTGGGAACTCGTTCGCAGAGGTGCGCAGCGTCGCAACAAACAACAACCGGCTCATACAGAGCCTGCTGCTGTCCGGCAATTTATACTCGAACAAGGTTTTTCAACCGCGGAACCGAGGAAAGCATCTTTTTTTGACGAGATATCTTACCAAAGAGTAATCGTACAAGCGTAATGTGCTTAAGAAAGAAAAACGATCAGAACTGGAATTGGATCTCATTTAGTTGTCCTTCTTGCTTTAGCTTCCGTTCATATGAAGAAAAGCACAGAAATGTCGCTGGAGATTTAATCGTTCAGGTGGAAAAACAAGTAACATTTGAAGTAAAAAAAAACAAAAAAAAACAGCAAACACGAACCTCAAAAGGTGTTCTAATTTACGGCAATAAGAAGCAACGATCGGGCTACTTTTCCAGGGCCGGAAGGCGAAACCACCGAAATGTCGGCTATAGTGAGTGAATAAATACTGTGACAACAACCTCGTATTTGTTCATGCTGATCAAGAATCCTAACGGATCTCACATCCTCTACACTTCATGAAAAATACATCAAATTCAGCTACCGACGCTGGAATTCATTGTTAGAAATCATCCTTACCGGTTCAAATTTGAAACCAAGAACTTGAAGTACGAAATACGTACCACGTCTTAGTCAATCTCTTTGAAGCTAGCTCTACAGAGACTTAAAATAAAGTCTACCCTACCAAAAACGACTGTAGGTTCCAGTTCCAATTAAATAGCTTGATTGTACTGCCGCCAGATTGTTCCCCTCCTTACGGAGGGTCTTCTCTGTTTGGCTCTTCCCATATGACGCCTTGTCAACTACCACCGCTTACGTATCACATCAAAAGAGATTTTCCCCAGACTCATTGTAACAAGGAATTGCACAGGGTTCTGAAACTGAAGCCATTTGGTCCGAGTATGTTCATCACTCAACATTCAATGTCCATAATTCATTTAGTAACACCGGAGCTCGATAGACCTGTGGTTCCTAGCCTTCAGCTTCATAATATATGCTGTTTTAGAAATATGTTCTAGGATTCCATTGACGTATACATATGGATTAGGTTCCGATACAAACACAAAATATTATGAGAATGTGTAATACCACAGCAAATCACATTATTGTTGCACTGTGTTCCAAGAGACGGTAGAACCGGCTCAACTGGTCCCTTTTTTGTCATAAAATTGCACTACTTGACGAGGGGCACAATAATGCATTCATCACAAAGGAAGTTTTTATGAGTGCTTCATCCCATACCAGCTGTTAGAAAAACGGGCATGCCCATGTCGTAAAGTTTGATTGAAATGCAAAACAACCAAGTAAACGGCGGCGAAGCCTCCATCTTATCCTTGTCGCATGAAATAAACAAGCGAGTTCTGCTCGGTCTGAGGACTCGCTTAGCACTCATACTTTTTTCTAGAACCGTCTTCTTACCATCAGCAGAGTGATATTTCTAGTGTGCGCCTAACACCTCATTGCAGCATGTCGGTAAAATCTCTTGCCCATCTATTGGTTGCCGCTGACCTATCAAGTGCTCTGCACACTCAAAACTTCAACATTTGATCTCTCGAAAGCGGCAACTCCGAGAATTTTACTCATGAAACGAGTCAGAATTACGCGCAGCGTGTTCGCGTTAGGAAAGGAAGCTCAGACTAATAACCTCAATTCAGGATTTATGGAAGTTCCATTTATCAAGGCGTAAGGATCTATTGTCAAATAGTGGAATATGTCCTATATATACGCCCTATTTTGAGGAGTGAAAATCCACATTTGTTTTTGTATAATTGAGCCATCATGTCACCTAACATACATACCCCTATACACAGGGCGTGTGTGGCTCGGTGGTCGGAGGCACTCTGCAACACGCACGTGGAATCGATCACAGCGCCCATGGCCCACCAAGCTTTCCATCCCTTTGGGGTCGAGAAACTGGTACCAGACTTGTCTGAGGATGGCAGCACTGGCTCGAAACATCGGTAGACCACCGCGAGTCATTGTAGAGGCTAGATATGCATTCAATTACCTCCAAACGATGCTTAATGAAGTCGAATGCATGGCACATCCCTCAGGGATTGATGAACCGCAAAAGCTTCATCCTTTTATCCCTATACACACATAGTCCTAACGGTTTACCGCCTCGATGTGGGTGGGAGGCGTTCCTGGGTGTCGGGCTGCGATGTGCGGCGGGTGGATCCTTCCCACAGTAGTGCTTCCCAAGCTGAGCCCGGGGTTTCACGAGGAAGCGTAGCTAAGAGTAAACCAATACAGGATCAACCATCGTCCTGACACCAAACTAGTCGTATGGTGGCAAATCTCCCTCTGATTCACAATGATGGCACATGTCTGTGGTGGTGACGGCCTGGAACAGACTTTGGGCAAGCCGATCACGGGACTCCAGGGAGCCACAATGGCGAGATCAGGAAGACTCCGAAAGAACGGAAACTATATAGAACCAGAACTCCACAGAACTAGTGAAGACGGGCCACCCAAGTATCAAAGAAAGTACTGTTTACCTCGCGGCATCACTGCAGCACAGGTAGTGAAAGTCGATAAACACTCATAAAGTTGGATGCCTCTCAAAAGAAATCACAAGACAGTATTAAAGATTTCACCAAATAAGAACGCCCCAATATACAACCAAACAAAAACAACGGCTTTAAACGATATGAAATAAGTACATATTATGGAAAAATGCAACTAAATGTAGCACTTAATTAAGCGATTTGAAGCAAAAGAGACGTTGATTTTAATACATGGAGTGAGAACACTTATACAAGAGCTGTTCACATGTAGAATGCTTCCCATTCTTCAAAAAGTGCATCTGGATTGTCGGCAGCCTTCTCCTGCAAGTGTTGGGTTAACTAGCACGGCTAATGAGAACAAACTTTAACCACTAAAGCACACCCTCATCCTCCAAAGAACTGATAACTAACCTAAAAAACTAAATATTTCTGAACCAAATTATGCGGTTTTGAAGATTTTAAAGTCGAAACTTATTTAGTCAAATTGACCACAGCAAGACAGAGTCATGACTTTGGAAACCTGACCTGAACTTCGGTCCGAGCATCGTTCACAACCACAGTACCGTCCGGCTTGATTATTCGTAAACTAGGAATAGTTCTAGCATCATACTTCTTTAATAGCTCCCTAAAACTGATAACAATTCGAAAACCTAGTTTATAAATAGAGAAATAAAACTTACTCTATTTTAGGATCTGCAAATGGTATGAAGGTCCAATCACTCATGTGTTCTTCATAGTATTCAAACAATTCCCCAGGTTCTTTATCTCGCGACACAAACACGATTTCGAACTCAGGATGAGACTTCTTGACTGCCTCATAGAATCTCTATACAGATCTGCTTCAAAACACTAACGAAAAATCAACACAGTGGTCAGTATAACTATACAATGCTGAGATATTTGCAAAACCCCGGTCTGCTGGTGTCTGCAGTGGAGAATGAACGCACGCACTATTACCCTTTCCGGGGAACTAATGCGTTCCCCACCACAGCATGCGACTCTTTCGTTTAGCCTTTTTCTCAGCCATCATTGACCTATAAGTGCTATCAGCAATCATCCGTTAACGGGATTGATCTGGAAAGTACAAATATTATATTGAACCCACTAAACCACATAATACCCTACTATTAAAAAAGAATAGGTGGTAAATAAAAAAGTGACTACAGTGGTTAATTCCAGCAAAACCAATAACCTTTACAATAAAAGCTCATAACAGAGGACAAAGCTCTCGGCCTTGATCAATCCCTGAGAGATGCGCCATGTATTCGACATCATTAAGCATCGTTGGAGGTGACTGAATGCATGTCTGGCCCTTGCAATGACTAGCGGTGGTCTACCGATGTACCGAGTCAGTGATGCTATCCTCCCAGCCTAGCTTGGTACCAATTTGACGACCCAGGGGAGATGGAGGGCTTGGTGAGCCTGGAGCGCAGGGATCGATCCCATGTGTATTGCAGAGCGCTCCCGACCACTGTACTACACGCTCCCCTTACATCTTACCTTAATCTTACAGTAAAAGTTATAGACACCATTTAAAATACCTCTTAAGAGCCTTAGTCTTTTAAATCATGTTAAATATCGACGAATTTCTTCACAATTCATCATTTTTGGAGAATGCTTTTTAACATACGAAAGGAAATATCGTCTTCCACTTTCTGTCATTTCTAAGTATTATCAGTGCAGGTAACTTATAGCCCTTAACAACTTTGCAACAGGGATAAATTAACCATGCACCCAAAACCCTTGTAGTTTGAAGAAGTTTAAAGTGGTAACGGAATACTCTGTAAAGACCAAATGTGTTAACTTAATGTCAGCTTCAGTTCAGGAACTAAGAGATAGGTGTCTTAGCCATAAATGCATCACAAAGAGTAACTCCACACCGAGTAATGTCTAGTGTTGCAAGTGAAATGGGACAGAACATCCAACTATTCAAAGTCTACTTGATACTTACCAGAGGTTCTAAGCGTATATGCAGAATAAAAGCACTATATCTAATGGAACTAATCAATTTGCAATTAAGATGAGAAGAAATAACAGAATGCAAATCGTTGGTTGAACTTGCTTTTGGGTTCTTTTTTGAATTTAAAAAATTTAAAGATTTAATAAGCTCTAGAACGCGAAGTCAACCCATAATCATGATGGCCTCTATTCTAACTCCACTAAAGAATTAGGTTAAAGAGAGCAAAAGGAAGTCGGTGGGGTGAGGTGGGGGTAAGATTGTCGTTTGCCTGAACTACAAGGTAGAATTGAGTCAAATACAATGTGCATGACAACAATATCTAAGGAATATCACTCTACAATCGGTGTGGGACAACAGGAAACCATGAGAACGAAACTACCATGCAATTTTCATTTCTAAATTTCACTTCTATGATGGATATCCAGGAATTTAGACTCTACCTTAGATGAACTATGCTAAACCACTCAAATAGTCGATGTCATTCTAAACGCAACTTCAGAAAATCCAACAACATCGTAGGGAAAGGCTGCAAAAGAATACTCCCACCTTCAGTTTAGGCGTGAAGGCTCGACACGGAGGACACCAACTTGCAGAGAAGTACAGACCCACCATCTGAAACCTCATTAGACCACGAATTGAAAAAAAAAGTGCAAGACGCGTCTAAGCTTCCTAACGAAATAGAAATTTGACGCAAATAAAGCACCACCTTCCCCTTGAGATAATCACCAGCATCCACCTGTTCACCACTCTTTAACTGGATTTTGACTCCCGCAAGCAACTCAGCCATTTCGCTCTGAAAGTCGTGTAATAAACAAAATTGATCCTTGAATAAGAATTCCAGAAGAAAACAGCAACAGAACGCCAACAAAGATAACAAATATGACGTTTGGACAAGACGTCTGAATTACATGCGTTCATTATTGGAGACGATTTTAAAAGTTCATTTTCGCGCCTTTGCTCTCGATGGGTCGAGATGTTGATGAACTTGAGCAGCGTTTCGCTAATAGTATTAGCGCATCGTATCTGGTTCAAAGTTATTCTTCATTATTTTACGATTCTCATTGCGTTTTCTGCAGATTTTCTTGATATCCGTGTGGAACGCCTTGGTCTTTTACTGTCGGAACTTCATGTTGTGTCAAAGACGTCAGGAAATGTCAAGTCCGGATACAGTTTACATCTCGTCGATCAGAAACGTTGAATGAATCGTTAGTGGTCCAAAGAAACCAATTTCTACGGCAATGGCTGGGTTAGAGAATGTGTTAATTCCTTTGTTTTCAGCAACTCCTGCGGATTATTTCTGCCCAGTGATGGTGTGTGCAGGATGGTTCTGTCTCGTCCTTGTCAACCTGATGACGTCGTGTTTGCTCTTCCTAGATCTCTTCATCTAGCTATGAATAGGTCTCTTACGACAAATGCAGTCGAATTTCAAGAAATCGTCTGAGAAGAGGACAGTAGTAGCTTGAAAATCGTACGACAATTAAGCTACATGTTAGAATACGAGGGTATAGAGTACATCCTTTTGATATCATTGGTACATTAATACACCGAAGATGACCTATGTTTGGATTACGGTATAAAGTTTAGAAGTCTACAAATATAAGACATTTTCGTGTCCTTATAATGTTGAGCTTACAGGAGGTTGATAAAGATATTTATTTGGCTTACGTTTCGACTAAATTTGTTGTAAAATGTCCTTATAAACTTGCTTTAAGTTCACAAAGAGGAACAACATGCACAAATTCGAGTTCTTTGTTTTCAGACGAAAATGTGGCAGAAATGATATTTTTGATGTAATAGCTTAGGCAATCAACTGGAATGTGGAAATAATACATGAGGTTGATAAAGATGTTTATTCGGCTTACGTTTCGAAGGTTTCGTCTTCCTCAGAGCCGACGGTCCCAGTCGATGGTCCACTGTTCTTCGTGTTCTTGAGGTGGTGTCTTCTTGGCGCATCGAGCTGCATCTTCCTTATTGGGGCATCTCTCTCGAATGACTCGTACGATGCCCTTTTATACTGAGCGGTTTTCGTTGATACTGTTGTCTGTTGATAATAGTTTATTTTTCAACGGATAGTCCACCGTGCAGCAGTCGATATTATATCAGTTAGCGCATAGCAAATAGCTTTATTTCAGCTGGCACATAGCGAGACAGTAATTTTGATACAAACCGTCTTTTAAGTTCGGTAGTAAAATATTCAGCATGCGCGTATAATGTTGAGCTCACACGCGGTTGATGAAGATTTCCAACATTAAGGAGACGCTTTCGTTTTTTCCATGGGATAACTCAATGGTGTCTTGACCTTAATAGAAGGCATCAGAATCTTCGTAGATTGTTGACTTCGTGATCAGTTTTGCCTGTGAATATAAAAAGTCTACAGAGTTTATAAGGGGCAGGGTCAGCATGATGCTTCGTTTATTCGATATATAATACTAGTGATATGACGATGTAATAATAGCAATGCGTGAGTATTACCTCGAACTACATAGGTATGATGTGTATATATTTATTTATCTATGTAAATAAGGCGCGCATTGCGCAGTGGTTGGAGGCGCACTACAATACACATGGGATCGATCCAAGCGCCCAAGGTTCACCAAGCATTCCACACCCCCAGGGTCGACAAATTGCTACCGGACTTTTTTGGGAGGGTAGCACCACTAGCTCGATACATTGGTACGTCAACGCGAACAATTGTAAAGGCCAGATGTGCATTTAATCATCTACAACGAAGATTAATGAAGTCGAATGCATGACGCATCCCTCTGGGATTGCTCAACGCCAAGAGCTTTATCCTTTAAACCTATTATCTATGCAAACATATGTATGCATATGTATTCCCTAGGATTCGAAATACTTCAGATGCGAGGATTTCAGAAACGAAGCTATTAATCTTTTTAAATTGTAGATGATGCGAACACATCTTCAGTGTTATGATTCGGTGTCTAGATCCTCCACATCATTTCTTGCCTTGCTGCAGATCGTCTGCACCTTAAAATTTCTCCAGGCATATCTCCGTTATATGATATATTGAGTGCCAGAATACCCTCATTGCGCTCTCCAGGAAGTAGAATTCTAAAACTTGCATATATCTTTCTACTTCTGTTCAGCAAGCACGAGGTGCTATTTTATTTCTTTATTTACGCACAAGCTGACGTTTCGGCGGATTTCGCCTTCCTCAGAGCCGCTTTCTATGAGTCTTCCACTGAGTATATCGCGTGAAGACCGACCGCAAAGAATTCACATGGAAGCGTAATCAATGCCGAGGTTAATAGAAAGTCGGACTTGGGAGTTTCTAAAACTTGCATTTTAACTACGATTCAACTTATATAGTAAACTCTGCGGTTTTTAATTAAGAGTAAACTTGGATTTTTAAAAGTGTTACCACAGTTTTTTTAAAGTTGTTTGAAATTGAAACGACTTTTCAAGACTTTTGCCGCGAACCCTGCTAGACAATCCATAGCCCTCTGTTCTGTTAGCCTTGACGTTGTTGTTGTTCGACATCAGTTCCTGATTAGGAATTTGTTCCTTTCACTGAATAGAAGCCTTGCATACTGATGGGTCGCGTTTGAAAAGCTGGGACATTGTCTTGACGAGGACAAGAGAAGGATCGATCAGATGTTCGAGTGTTATATAGCAATGCCTTCATGGACCGGGTGCTTGACTTTTCATCGACGAAAGCCACATCACATCTAAGAAGGTAGAATAGCAGTAGAGCGACATATCAGTCCTGCTTAATTTACTTATTTTACATGTTGTTTGTAGTTCTTGAAAGATTACTTTAGTATTCGTGGGTAACCTCCATAGCATTCTGGAAGACAGAACTGTTTCGTGTTGGCGTCGGAGTGGTGCTGTATTTGGAGAGGTTTCGGTAGGTGTTATAAATAATCTTCTCACCCTCTGCTACTTTGCCTGCCGCTCGTCGGATTTTTGGCCTATTCGCTCGAGTTTCATCTAACGACTGACAGTCTCTTGCAAGCTTCAGAACTCTCAGCTTTCATAACACTAACATGAAGATGATGGATAGACTGATCACATTTGTTACCAGTGTTGTCGGTAATGGCGTCTTCTCAAGAGTTATTTAGTAATTATCCCATATAAATAGAATTTATGGTGGCTCTAAAATTTGGTCACCAGAAACTTACGCATTATCTTCTTGTAAAATCCTGCTATAAGGAGATGATGCTCTGAGATCCGACGCGTTGTGAAATTTTTGAGCAACAACGACATGATACTAAATATGTTTCTTTATTTCTGAAAGTGCAAATTATTTTTGAGCAACAGTATATTCACTCTGCCACACAAAGTAACCTCATCCTGGCAAGCTTTGCTTTAATGTGAAACTGCGGTGCACGATTGGGACGCATCTCCATGTCGAGATCATCAGGGTAGAAAAATCGGACATACTCATTTAAAAGCCCTGCTGGGATAGAGAGAAGCCCTTTAGAACCCACGACAAATCGCCAGCCTGGAGGAGGCTTAGTCGGAAGCGTGGTAGATCGCGCTCAGATACGCAAATAATCGACATAAAATACGTGCTGCTATACTGAAAGGCAGTTGGCTGCTCATCGATGTTAGAGGAATGAAGAAAGAAATGATGTCAGGTCTTTCACAAGCCGGAACTCACTGTCTTGGGATCACACAATTATTTGTGATGTTTTATCACATATTATTAAGCACCAAAGTGTATGAACTGAATTTTTTGGGTTTTCTTCTATTAATGTTCCCGTACGGTGAAATTTTTACCATCGACAAACACCGCTTATGAACGATATCATAAGCGAGTTATTAAGCTTCCTCTTACATCAATAAACGTTTACAAACTTCTTGTATGACTTGTGTAAACCCATTTTTGTCTGGAAAAGTTTTAAATGACGATGGATACTTCATTTTGCTTTTTTCCTTTATACTATTCAAGCAGAGTACTGTACTCTATTACCAGTTGGTTTGGTTGTCTCATTCATTGCTCTCCCATTCATTATCTTTTTATAGAGTTAATCGTGTAATTTTTATTTAGATTGCTTTCTACAACGCTGTTTGCATAGCGGCCCCGATTAGCGATCTGATTAAGCTGAGTTGTCTAGCTCTCCATTGTCCTACGTGGAAGATTCGTGAAACGAAACTACAATCAATACACAGAAGGGAAAATAATAATTGCACATGCGTGCGTGGGTCTAAATAAAAAATTGCTTAGCGCTCTTCAATTAAACAGACAGAATTAGCTAAGATTTATTAGTGCACAACCGAGAGGACAAATGAAATCTGACGTTGTGGATAGAAGAGACGAAAAGCAGTGGATAACGAAGAATCGCCAAAAATCTGAAAGAGTTTCACTGATTTGAAACAGCGTGATCACGAAAAGCTTGCTAGAAAGAATTAGTGTAGAACAGAAAAAAGAGTTAGGAAACGTTTTATACTGGAGCGGATAGCACAATGTAGTGATGCTCGTCATCACAAGCATGGTGCCGGGTCGACTCCGCTCCTGGCCAATCAAGTCAGTCATCTCTCCGGGGTCACGAAATTGGTACTGGCCTTGTCTGGGAAGAAATCACTCTCCGCAATCCAATTGGGAAAACTACAGCCCGACTATCTCAGGACTCCAGCGAGAATTGCTCGACCAGCATTCTACGACATTCAAGATGAATGAAGATCCTCAAGCAGCAACATACAAGCCACACGTAAAGTTGGAAGATCTTCGTAGACAATGGATGCCAGGAAACCAATTGAATGTGAGAAGTACTGGGATCCGCACAGTAGACGTGAAGACGAGTTAAATAACACAAAAATTAA